GGTCGGGTAGTGTGACAAAGAGGTTCTAGCTAGCTTGGCACCAGAAAACGGCATCGTCATCGGTATATGATAAGCAGCGCACTTGATATCCAACGGTGACCAAAAACAGCAACATTTTTTAGTTTGACCTGACCTGGAAGGTCAATGACTGACCTGAGAAGGTAAAACTGTGTATCATTGGATTCGTCTCTTCCCAAAGAATCTTTTTGGTCTTTACCGCTAAGCTGATCTCCAACAGGAACGAAATGTCGCGGGGGGGTGGGGGTGGCAACCCCCCCCCCATGTGCGTTCTAGGATGGGAAAATGGCATGTGCGGGCGAGGGTTAATATGCTTATTTTCAAAAAAAAGGTAAAAAAAAAAAACAGGAATCATCGGACGGAAATTCTGTGAATATGGGATGTGATGACGCTCAGTAGATATTTTGTGCGGTAAAAAAATGCTTATTTTGAAACATGCTATAGCCGGAGCGAATGCAAATCTATTTCATACCACATCATGCAGTAGCATCACATTTCCTTCGATAAATGATTATATTGTTGACATTCGTCGTCTTCATACGTCCCGACCGTGGTTCTATAATTTAGGGAGTCCCACTCTGAGCTTGAAGACTGAGGTGAATTCCAAATGTCTCTAAACTTGGGTTGAGATAATTATAAATGAGGCTTTTGAGGATCACGAAAGACCCCCGATGAAATAGAGGAACGAACATGGAAAAGAATCGAGGCAGGAGAGAAAAGGCGCCGGGAAAAAGTTTGAAATGAAAAGAATCTAAAGTTCGCAAAACACAGAACCCTCAGTGAAGCACTGAGTGTTGGGAATAGCATTTATTGCTGGTATCAGCAAAGTGTATTAGCACGCGCAGTGGAAGGGTTGCGAGTACTATACGCCCAGTGGAAGGGCGGATGTCGCCCCTCCCCCTCCCCCCATAAGATCTCAGCTCCCACTGAAGCTAGAAAGACGAAATTTGAAGGGTAGGTGGGGGTCCTGAGGAACTCTTTTTGTGTGAATTTCATGACCCTAGGTATTTCATCTTCAAGGTCGAATGAGGTCAAATGTGGTCAACTCTGCACCATATGACCGACTTTTTTTGCGTTTACAGCCGATGGCTCAAATAAGTTACCGGCCGATTTTCTTTTGTCTTTCACTATACGAAAGAACAAACATTTCAGAGTATTCAAAGTGAATTTCATGTTAACCCGCGCCCGGCTGGGGGTCCTGGATTTCCACGCCCTGCTGGGGGGGGGGGGGGTGTTTGAACACCCCCCCCCCTTCTAACTCGGCTCCTGGGCCACGTAGCGATACGCGGAAGGCGGCGTTCGAAAGAGCGTCAAAAATAATGACGAAATCACTTCGGTCAATTTTTTGGTCAGGTCAAAGGTCAGGTCACCAGAGGTCATTGAAGGCAAATTTTCGCCGATTTCCAGGTCGAATGTCGAAAATTTCCAAGAAGCCAACGCATAACTCGGGAACCAATAGAGCTACAGCGCCGCGGAAAAGCGCATTCGATAGCCCTATTAACGCCCTTTCTGAGTAATTCTCTCAGATTTGACCTAACGTCAACGGTTTTGCCTGCAGGGGGCAAAAACTGCAAAAATAGCCGATTTTTTCGGAAACAGTTTTTCTGCAATAACTTTTGACCCAAGCATTGTACGAGCTTACTTTTACCGGCGTCGTGTTCCTCTCGTCAAGACGCATCGAACGAACTATAATTTGACCCTGAAAGGTCAACTTGAAAATTTGACCTCAGGTCAAGGTCATGACCTGACCGGAAAGGGTCATGTTGCATATCAGTCGATCCGTATCGTCGAGCTGAACACATCTAAGGCGTTTTCATCGCTCTAGCATGCCTCTATCAAAAATTATTTGCGAAAAACCGTTAGATACCATTCGTGACCTAAGATGACCTCAGGGCATAAACAGGGGTCACAGACACCATTTTCATGTTCAGTGTGTCTAAACCACTTGTAATTCAGTGTTTGGGAGTGTTTATAATGTCTTTCGTCCAAAACAGGCGCATTTCAATTTTCTCCCATTGACTTATAATGGTGAGGTCGCAAAATGGACCTGACCTTAGGTCATCGATATCAAAATTCTGAGATATACATTTTGTACATGCTAATGCTCCTAGCAATCGCTGAAAGTTTCAAAGCGATCGGTCACTCGGTGTAGCTATGACAGACATTGAAACTTTTTATGAGGTGAGGTCACTTCGAGTGACCTGGTGACCTGACCTTGAATGACCTTGGTCTGAAATTTTCACAACATGTGTAGAATTGATGTATGATAACCCGCGCCCGGCTGGGGGTCCTGGATTTCCACGCCCTGCTGGGGGGGGGGGGGTGTTCAAACACCCCCCTTCTAACTCGGCTCCTGGGCCACGTAGCGATACGCGGAAGGCGGCGTTCGAAAGAGCGTCAAAAATAATATCGAAATCACTTCGGTCAATTTTTTGGTCAGGTCAAAGGTCAGGTCACCAGAGGTCATTGAAGGCAAAATTTCGCCGATTTCCAGGTCGAATGTCGAAAATTTCCAAGAAGCCAACGCATAACTCGGGAACCAATAGAGCTACAGCGCCGCGGAAAAGCGCATTCGATAGCCCTATTAACGCCCTTTCTGAGTAATTCTCTCAGATTTGACCTAGCTTCAACGGTTTTGCCTGCAGGGGGTTAAAACTGCAAAAATAGCCGATTTTTTCGGAAACAGTTCTTCTGCAATAACTTTTGACCCAAACCTTGTACGAGCTTACTTTTACCGGCATCGTGTTCCTCTCGTCAAGACGCATCGAATGAACTATAATTTGACCTTGAAAGGTCAACTTGAAAATTTGACCTCAGGTCAAGGTCATGACCTGACCGGAAAGGGTCATGTTGCATATCAGTCGATCCGTATCGGCGAGCTGAACACATCTAAGGCGTTTTCATCGCTCTAGCATGCCTCTATCAAAAGTTATTTGCGAAAAACTCTTAGATACCATTCGTGACCTAAGATGACCTCAGGGGCATAAACAGGGGTCACGGACACTATTTTCATGTTCAGTGTGTCTAAACCACTTGTACTTCAGTGTTTGGGAGTGTTTATAATGCCTTTCGTCCAAAAGAGGCGCATTTCAATTTTCTCCCATTGACTTATAATGGGGAGGTCGCAAAATTGACCTGACCTTAGGTCATCGATATCAAAATTCTGAGATATACATTTTGTACATGCTATTGCTCTTAGTAATCGCTGAAAGTTTCAAAGCGATCGGTCACTCGGTGTAGCTATGGCAGACATTGAAACTTTTTATGAGGTGAGGTCACTTCAAGTGACCTGGTGACCTGACCTTGAATGACCTTGGTCTGAAAATTTCACAACATGTGTAGAATTGATGTATGATAAGGTGTACCAAAAACGGCGGCGCTCCGCGCCGCCGTTTTTGAGATATTCGCGAAAAACCACAGGGGGGGGGTGTTCAAACACCCCCCCCCCCCCAGCAGGGCGCGGGATAAGGTGTACCAAAAACGGCGGCGCTCCGCGCCGCCGTTTTTGAGATATTCGCGAAAAACCACAGGGGGGGGGGTGTTCAAACACCCCCCCCCCCCAGCAGGGCGCGGGTTAATCCAATCATAAATATGGCAGTTAGGAGCCTGTTAAGAGCAAGATGTCGCCACTTGAGGCGGAACCGGCCGACGCGGTAAACGCGACAATCACAATTTTGTGTTTACACGTTCATGACGTGAATCGAATGTAATCAGCGGTAAGGAGCGCGATGTGAAGACGGAACCATCCCGCCCCGGCACAGTGTACAAACTGATTTGCTTATTTCTTGCACGAGAAGATCCGAAATTCAATCATAGACAGGTAGTCGAAATTTCACACTAATGCGATATTCGTGGCGCGATTTATTGGCGAAAAACAGGTGGGTGGGTAAAATGGCGCGTGTTAAATCACAGCATAGTTTTATCACACTACCTATGGTTATAACAATCGGAATGATGACCCTGCGTGAATGGTACACACATGTAGGGTAGCCTGGGGCAAGACGCCCCAGATAATTTATTTTGCTACATAACTTTTGTCCTACATCACCTGGAAGGCCAAATTTGTGCTCAATGCGTTCGTTGGACATTTTACTTTAAGTTCCACCCCTCAAATTCATTCACTTATGATCTGACTCCCAGCTATGAAGTGATTTGTGAAGCAACTGCAAATGGGGCATTTTGCCCCGACCCCAGGGCAAAACGCCCCACGGCCCGGGGCAAGAAGCCCCATACTCTAGATTAAAGATTAAACATGCTAGTTGACCAAATCTTATATGAGAGGTCCGTTAGACCTTGGGAGGCACGGCACTGAAGTTAGCACCTTCCATCCTATCAGGTGTTCAGCTATAACACTATTGTATGAGCAGGTTTTTCACCTGCCTCATAAGGCCAAATAATAAATTATTGCCATGCAACTGTCAACCAAATACTTCCTTTGCCATCCGGTTGCTGAGAAAACTGCACATAAATGCATAGAAACTTACTGTTAGCCAGCTACCGAACATTAGGAAGTGGGTAGTACGAACAACACATGAGGCAAAACGCCCCATGGGGCTTTTTGCCCCGCGACCTACTGGGGCGTTTTACCCCATCACGTAGTTCGGTCAAAAAACAACGCCCTGCACTCCAGCAAGACATAATTTAACACGAACCAACCCGGCATTATAAGCGTTAGATAATAGTTGTTCAAAATACATAAAAGTCGTTAACCTGATGTGGACCATAAAAGAACGCCATGATGCATAACCTGACAACAAAACATAAAAATCACTCCAAAAACACATTTTTGGCTATATCTCCCTAAGGAGTCATCACAATTTCTTTTCAGTCTGGTCATATAATGATCATATAGTGCACGTTTTATAGAAGAGAGAATATTTCCCCAGATCCTTGCCAGTTCCGAGAAACATCGGTGAGGCGTTTTACCTCGGCGGGGCGACTTGCCCCGGTCTACCCTATCGTGTTATCCACCGGAGTCTCACCGTCATTTGGTAGGGCAGCGCGCCATAGGTGACATGTCGACAGCACAGCTCCCTGGCTATTTTAGCGCATTGCTCTTCCGAGTCTAGTCGAGTGATCACTTTGTTCACGAAACCCATCACCCTGTAACAAATGCAGAGGTGCGCAAAAAAGTTATAATAGTGATTTCCCGCTACATCCTTAATTCATCATTCATAAATCTTTACAACTCACCATGCAGTAAGAATAAAGCATACTCAGAAGTCAAAAAGACGATCTTGTTGGCATAGATCATAACACACCGCTTTTACATATATCAATACGAAAGATAACCAGTTGCAGGGTTGCCAGGTTTTATGGGACGATGCGGATGACTCCACATCACACCATCTTGTATTGTTCAGCTTTCTCGAAATCCCCTCAGACAACTTACCGGGATGAGTGATTTCGGAGCTCGTGAGACGTCTTCAACTGGTCGATTTCGACGTTTCTAAAAGCCGGAAATGTCCTCTTTCATGTCTGGATATGCCTCGAACAATCTGCAAAGAGGGAAAACGAGGACATAAGGAGAGCTGCAGCTGAAACGTGTTTTGATTGGTATTTGGTCGTTCCGTAAGGGTGTTTATGCTCTGACCACTGAACAAAGCAACACATCATTGTAATGTCATACTCATAAATAATCCCAGTCTCAGATCACCAAGGACCAGTCAAAATGCCTCAGTTGTTAGAAAATATGAATATTCTCCGAGTACACACGACTCCGATCGCTTACGTTCTATATGTTGCAGGCACTTTAGAAAATCAGTCATTTTGTAAAATGCCTAGGTATTTTGCAAAATGCCTGATTTTCCAGGCTTTTTGCAAAAAGCCTAGGCATTTTACAAAATGACTGACTCTCCAGTCATTTTGCAAAATGCCTAGGCATTTTACAAAATACCTAGCCATTTTACAAAATGACTGAGCAGCGTGTTGTAGATACGAGTACCTAATTATATACGTTTTGGTAGCGTGTAGGTGGACCGAGGAGTCCAGCATTATGACCAGAGGAGTCCAGCAGTGGGAAGTCCATACCTACCTCTCTCTATTTTGAGAAGTGCAGGCCCGCGACATTTCCAACCCCCACGTCAGCGACGCTGCTGGATGTAAAATGATCGATCTGGAGCGTCAACAAACGACTGGCCCTATGCCGGCCTGTATCTGTAAAACCATTAGGGGTCGGGAGGATTCGATCCCACACACTTAGGCGTTAGTGTCTTCTGAAACCAACGCTCTCGTCCTACGCCAAGCGACCTGATGATTCTCCCGATGTGGAGCTTGATATTTTTAACTGAGACCATGCAAGTAGGTACTCAAAGCTGTCAAACAAAGACACAATCAAACAAAGACTACACTCATTCGTTTACATGTAATTGTACACCAACCGGGCCTGCCTATTGACTAGGGCCGGTCTCCGGCTGGTTTTGTTAGGTCTAGTTTCAGGCAGAACATGAACGGCGTTGATGTACTTGGGAGTTTTTACAGCGTTAACTAAACAATGCTTTATGCTACAGCCGAGTCTGCAACTCAACCTGGTCGTTACTCAGCATTGTCGTCATCACAGAGCATCAAATCGATCAGCTACAGGCTGAACACGTACCTGTAGGGTATTGGAAGACGTCCAAAAACTGTTGGCCATAGTATCTGTAGTGGGATCTACGTTCCATGCTGGTCAGGCATTTTGCAAAATGCCTAGTCATTTTGTAAAATGGCAAGCCATTTTGAAAAAAGCCTGGTTGCGTTCAGTCATTTTTCAAACAGCCGTCTTTTTGTAAAATGCCTAGGCATTTTACAAAATGACTGATTTTCTAAAGAACCTGCAACATATATATACCATAGTCATTTGTCGTTCACATGCCATCCACCTCGGGGTAACTGCTGCACACTTCCCGTCCCCACAGCTGCAGCGGCCCAGCGTGACGCAGCGTTTCTGCCGGCGCGGCGGCCGCACTCCGCTAACCTTGAGCGGCGCGGCGTGGGAGGGCGGGGCCGGCAGATACCCGCAGCGCCTCTTCACGGCACATGCGGCTGAGAGGCGCCGCCACTGGTGGAAGGAGGCAGCTACAGCGCAGCGCGGTACAGCGGTCAGCCGTGACCCGTGACAAGGGGTCACCATGTGGGCGGTGGCGCTGGCCGTGGTGTTGGTGCTGGTGACACTGGTGTGGCGCAGCCGAAATTCCAACAAGAAACTTCCCCCAGGTAAGATGCAACGAGGGATAGCGTCATTTTGTGGGCCGTGAAAATTACCAAATTAACTATGTGCCCTGTTTTCGTTCAACTTCATATATCTATGGATAATGCTTAATGTGCCCTGCTGATGCACAATGCTTGTCCAAAGAAGATCTATGTTGACAGTTAGTTGACATGCATCAAGGGCACAAATAGCCGTATTCACAACAGCTTATCTAGTGAATGCACCAAACTTGACCATATCTAACCAAATATCTCGTACAGAGGCCAGTTTTACCAGCAGAAAATTAGCCGCCTGCCGGAATGTTTTGCCTAAAGACCGCTTCACATACGGAACATAAATGGTAAAGCCCTATCCGCTTACGTGCCTATCACATTTGCGTTTACGCTCCGTATGTGTAACGATCTTAAGGCAAAAAATTCCGGCAGGTGGCTATTTTTCTGTTGGTAAAACTGGCCTCAGTACAACAAATATCTTCCAGTCGTGAATTTATTTAAATGCTTTACTTTCGACGATAATGTCTGATAATTTGATAAATCAGGTATATGAGAAGCAATTGCCACGAAAGATAAAAACCTACAAAGGAACTCCCTTTTCCGACGGCACCCAGTCGATGGAATTTGAAAGCAAAGAAGGAAAGCAATGACCATTTCATTCAAAACGCGGAAGCCATCGCGTACTAAACGGATAAAAAGGGTCAAACAGATGCCAGGGGTCCGTCGTGAAACGGCTTCTATTCGATGATATGAAGTTAATTCGACCAATCTGCACCAAATGTGACCAAATGTTTGCCAGATAACCGTCGTGAAAACGGCTAATTGTTACACGGACCATGTTTCGTAGCTTAGGCAGTGTTGTCTGCGTAGGTAATCGTGAGTCCGTGACCCACTCCATGTACTGTTGTGGGTGATAAAACAACGAGCAAGCCATTGACGTTCTTTCCCCTTTCAGGGCCGGGTGGATTGCCTTTTATCGGCCAAGCAGTCGTGAACGGCAACATACGCAAAGAACTTCAATTCATCGAATGGTACAAGCAGTACGGTCCAATTTATCACTTCACATCGCTTGGGGAGAAGATGATCGTGCTTTCTGACCCTGATATTATACGGGAAGCCTTCTCAAAGACCGAGACAACAGATCGTCAGTCCAACGCGATGTTTACGCTTCTTTATGCTGACACCGGTCTCATCTTCAGTAGCGGAGAACTCTGGAAGCAGTCACGACGCTTCTCGCTCCACCATTTGCGCAACTTTGGCATGGGCGGTGCGAAACTGGAAGGAGTCATCCGAGACCAAGTGGAGGAGTTACTCGACCGGGTTGTGATGCCGAACGAGGGCAAACCATTCTGTATCGATGACAACCTCCAGAACGCTATCGCCAACATCATATGGGGCATGGTGTCTAGTCAGAGGTTTGACATCACTGATACGCGGGCGCTGAGTGTCATGAAACCGCTTGATGACCTTGTGTACTTTCTTCCAACCATCTTCCTCGTCGCATTGTGCCCCCCGCTGATGTATCTGCCGGAATGGCTAACAAAGCTTGACAAGGTGAAAGCCATGTTTCAGTTACCAATTGACAACCTTATCCAACCGGCGATCGACGAGCATGACCGAACGGTGGACTTGAATGGCGAGCCTCGCGACTACATCGACTGCATGCTGCAGGAGCGCAGTCGCAACCCGCAGCTCTTCACCAACAGACACATGATTCGCTCCATCTTCGACCTGTTTATTGCGGGCTACGACACAACCACCTCCACCCTACGCTGGGTCTTCCTTTACTGCTGCAAGTTCCCGCAAATTCAACGTAAGCTGCGTGAGGAGATTGCCAACATTGTTGGCAAGGAACGTTCGCCGGCACTATCGGATCGTCCCCGCATGCCCTACACAGAGGCCTTCATAATGGAGACTCAACGGATGGCCAACATCGCCCCCTTCGGTGTGGAGCACGTGACTCGCGAAGAGATCCAGCTTGGTGGCTACACGATCCCGCGCGGAGCCCAAGTCATCTCGCTGCTGATGGCCGTACACATGGACGAAAAGCACTTCCCGGAGCCGGAGGTGTTCCGCCCAGAGCGGTTCCTCGACGACCAGGGTCGTGTCAAGCCGAATCGCGCCCTGATGCCGTTCTCGGTGGGCAAACGGTCGTGTCTGGGGGAGGCCCTGGCGCGTGCCGAACTCTTCCTGTTCGTCACGGCGTTGCTGCAGCGCTACTCGCTGCGGTTCCCGGACGGATTTGATGGCGACCTCAGCTGCAGTGAATCTAAATTCATTCGACAGCCGAACCGATATGACCTGGTTATGGAGAGGTCATGAGTTCTGGTTGATGTCAATGTAAGAATGCAACGCAATACTGTAAGCAAAGGACAGCATACCATGTTACCTTCTTGTGCTGTTAGTAGGATAGTGAAGTGAAGCGAGAGACAACACAAATGTAGCTTAGCGCAATGCCTAGCCTGAGCCAGGGTGATTTACCGAACGCGTTTACTCCAGGCGAGGAGAACCCTCCCCACTCCACGTTCCGGGTAAGTAAATGTGTGTGCGATTGCGTAATCAGAGCACTTACGTAAATGATCCACCCAATGCACGGCAACTCTTCGCATGTCATTCGCAATATCATATACATGTTTTAGTCTGACAATCAGAGACAGTTTGCTTGAGCTGTTTGAACTACTGGTCGTTGTGACAACATAAAGAATAGCAGACCAAAATGTTCTTATACTATTTTTAAAGATAAATGTCGATGGATTTACGTCACCCAATCTAGGAGGGGCAAACAGTTTTCAATGCCGTTGAATGTGGATGTTCCGCACTTCCAACGGGTGGATTTTTGCAGCTTCCCTGCTTTGACAGCACTCGTTCATGACCAATTTAGTCCCTGGGCAGCGGGCACTGAGCTGAACGCTGGTGACTCTGCTATCTGTCTGTAATCGTTTTGGCCCAGCAATATATCTAAGGGCCGATAAATGTAAGTGTATAACAATGTCTTTTCCACGCCGTTCCATGTCTATGTCTGCATTTTATCAGCGTTGTTTAACCCTCGCCCATGTCGGGGGGGGGGTTGGTGCAACCCCCCCCCTGAGGCTTTTCGAAAATAGTGCAAAAACGGCGGCGCGCAGCGCCGCCAAATTTTGGGTACCTTATGGGGCAAACCTTGCGCATCTTTTTATAAAAAAAAAATTTGACCGGGTCATGTCAGGTCACGGAGTTATGACGTCACAAAGGGAACAGCCTCCGGCCGGATTTTCACAAACTGAGTGCCAACGCCCGAGGTTTCCTGCCGGTGGTACGGACATCGGTTGATGGATCGTGATGAAACTTCCCATGCATGTTGGGGCAAGTATTGGCTATCATATGGTATAAGAAACTTGACCGGGTCAGGTCAGGTCACGGAGCTATGACGTCACAAGAGGAACAGCGTCCGGTACTATTTTTGAAAAGCGCCCGAACCACTATTTTGCTAATTCTTGTCACCTCAATGGGAATATGCAGCAATATTAGCTTCTATAGGGAGCAAATGGACCTCCCAAATCCAAAAATATAATCAGATTTCAAAAATTTAAATTTTGATTTTTCGAATTTCTGCCGCCGACTGTGACCTTGCCGACTTCCGGCGCTCCCAACGCGCCATTTTTAGAGCTAGGGAAACGAAATACATACCAAACGATAGAGAATTGATCAAGGAACACGATAGTGAAGGTTTCAAGTCGATATCTCCCACCGTTTCGCCGCAATCGCCGCGGAAAGTTGAAAAAAGTCTATTTTTCCGAAAATTTGACCTTTGACCGGTCAAAAGTAGGTCAAATGTTGACCTATGACCAAAAAATATACCACCAATCGCGAGATCTCGGCGAGAGCAATCCGTTGGTCTTTTCCGCTAAGCTCTACGACGCTCCGTTTTCAAACGCCAAGGGGGGGTCGCACCACCCCCCCCCCCCCTGCATGGGCGAAGGTGGCAGATCGCCGTTTACGGGCGAGGGTTAATATACCATTTGATTCAGCACCAACTGCATCAAACACTTCATTTCTTACTACTACGCGCTTTTTGCTTTATCATATTTACGAGGGTCCTAATGGGTAACGACATTATCAATATCCCTCTGATATATCCCATAAAAAGTTAACAAGACACTTCAAATACATAAGCATCTCACAGGGTATTTACATTTCAGCGTCCCTCAGCGGCCATCCTCCGCAGCAGCGGCGCCCCACCAATAGACCTAATACAGTCAGCATCCGTGGTCTGGAACGTCAGCACCAATCGGAGCCCGCAGCTCGGGTCCACCCAGTGACCTTGGGCCATCAGGACGGCGAAGTGGCCGCCGCTGTCACGCGGTTCAGAGTGGAGGCTCGAGTGAGGGGCGGCGTCGCAGCGTTCACGGCTATCTGTGTTTGTCAGAGGGGCGTCGACCAGACTGAAAGCAGCAGCCATGTGGGTGGTGGCTGTAACGGTTCTGGTGGTGCTGGTGGCACTGGTGTGGCACAGGAAAACGTCGAACAAAAACCTTCCTCCAGGTGAGGCAGATAATATTTAAGGCATAGCGTTATGTTTCTCGTCAATAAAGAGCACTTGCCCCTGCGTATCCAATTTTAGGCAAATCAATCAGCTGTCTATTGGAGTTCAGAGTCAGACAGACGCGACTTGCGCGACTTTTCACAATAGGCTAAACAATGTTCAAGAAAGGGCTCTATAGAGCCCACCCATGTATCCGAAATCACGGGGCCGATTGTACGCCAAGGTAACTGATGACGTTGCAGGTCAGGCCAGAGCGAAGATTAATAAAAATTTATAATATATACTTTTGCATGCTCACACCTTGGGCCGGCCTTGCTTATGGACTCTAGCCGCCGGGGAACAATTCACATCAAACTAATTTTCGGTTTACATACTCGCAAATATATGCGGAATATACATACTCTGAGGGTACTATTACTTCTTGTTTAGGTACTTGTACTTCTTGTTTCTGAGGGCATTTGTATCTCGTTTGTCTCAGGCTAAGTCTAAACACTTAGCGAAAATTCATCATCACGAAAATTTTATATCATGAATCGGCCGCAGCCCACATAACACATATTTTACGGTCCATTCCGGTCACTTACTTCTACCTCAGTGCGGTAGTTATGTGTTATCTGAGGCCATTTTCAAGTGAATCTGAATATAGTTAGTCAAGGTAGGTCACCAAGTTAAGGCTACCATCACGTAAAAAAGACCAAATTTGGAAGTTAAAATTTTCAACGAAAAAAAAAAAGAACTATAAAAGTAGACGCAATCTATAGTAGACGCAGATTCACCTCAGCAAAACGATGCACGATATTGTTACATTGGGCTTTCCTAAAAAAAAAAAACAGCTGTGTCTAGAACTGTTTATTAGGATGTTTACTTGATTCTTTTGTCGTTGCAGGTCCTGGTGGTTTACCTCTAATTGGACAAATCGCCAAAGCAGTTGATCCACGGAAAGAGCTACATTTTATAGAATGGCAAAAGAAATACGGGCCAATTTTCTACTTCAATACCATAACAGAGAAAATGGTCGTAATTTCCGACGCCGACCTTATCCGGGAAGCCTTCAGCAAATCAGAGACAGCTGATCGTCCATCAAATATAATATTTACACTCTTCTACGCCGACAACGGCCTCGTCTTCAGCAGCGGGGAACTTTGGAAGCAGTCACGTCGCTTCTCTCTACACCATTTGCGGAACTTTGGCATGGGCGGCGCGAAATTGGAGAGCGTCATTCAAGACCAGGTCCAAGAACTGCTGGAGCAGGTTGTGGCGCCCAACGAAGGCAAACCACTCTGCATCGATCACAGCCTACGGATTGCTATCGCCAACGTCATCTGGGGCATGGTGTCCAGCCAGAAATTCGCTGTAACCGACACCCGAGCACTTGAAGTTATGCGGCCCTTCGACGAAATGTCGCAATTCATCTGGATTTTCATCATTTTGACGATATGCCCGGCATTGGCGAGACTTCCTTCTTGGCTCAATGGACTGAAGAAGGTTTACAAGATATTCAACGCTCCCATCGACACACTTATCCAACCAGCAATTGACAGCCATGAGGAGACGGTGGACCTGAGGGGCGAGCCTCGCGACTACATCGACTGCATGCTGCAGGAGCGCAGTCGCAACCCGCAGTTCTTCACCAACAGGCACATGATTCGCTCCATCCTGGACCTCTTTGTTGCAGGTCATGACACCACTTCAGTGACGCTTGGGTGGGCATTCATCTACTTGTGCAAGGATCTTGAAGTACAGCGGAAACTGAGAGAGGAGATTACTAACATTGTTGGTAAGGAGCGTTCACCGGCCCTGTCTGATCGTCCCCGCATGCCCTACACAGAGGCCTTCATAATGGAGACTCAACGGATGGCCAACATCGCCCCTACCGGTTTGGAACATGTGACTCGCGAAGAGATCCAGCTTGGAGGATACACGATCCCGCGCGGAGCCCAAATTATCTCGTTGTTGATGGCCGTACACATGGACGAGAAGCACTTCCCTGAGCCGGAGGCGTTCCGCCCAGAGCGGTTCCTCGACGACCAGGGTCGTGTCAAGCCAAATCGCGCCCTGATTCCGTTCTCGGTGGGCAAACGGTCGTGTCTCGGGGAGGCCCTGGCGCGTGCTGAGCTCTTCCTGTTCCTGACGGGGCTGCTGCAGCGCTACTCTCTGCGATTTGTGGACGGATTCGACCACGACCTTAGCTGCATCCAGACGAAGGCGATAGTTCGTGAACCGACCTCCTACGAAGTAGTTCTGGAACGGTCCTGAATACAAATGCAGCACTCTGACCCATGCTCGATGCTCTGATTCACGAAGATGTTTTGCTTGCTGCAATGGCAACATGTATGTAAGTTGTTGCACGTTACAATCTGTTGTGCTCAGAAACTTTTATTGCACGCACTTTTTGCTTTGAGGCGTGCTTGTGCCACAAATCAAATCCTGTGTATTTAGCTGAAGCATGCCAATTATTTAGAATTGTTAAGCTCTGTGAACATCACACAGATGCGAACGTTTTGATGAGAAACGGCGAGTCGACGAAATATAAGAAGGTAAGTAGTGTTTATCGCTGCTGACCTCGTTAGCATTCATGGAGTTTAATGAAAACTTCTAGCATCTTATCAGCTTTGGCGGAGATGGATCTCATGCTGCTAATGCTGATGTGTGCGAAATACCTGAAAGTGCAACGAAAAGAGAGTCCATTGCGATATCGGAAAGGTGACATTGGGACGCTGCTAGAAGGAGGGAAGACTCCCTTAGCCCTCGCCGGACGAGGGGGGGGGGTGCCGCCACCCCCCATAGGTTTTTTCGTGATAGCTCCGAACACGCTGCCGATAGAGAGCTGAAACTTAGTATACCTGACCTTTGATTCAAGTCCGATCTTCTGACACCAACCGCAATTTCGGGTCAGATCAGGTTACTGACCTATGACGTCATAAGTGAACCTCTGCACGGTCTTCAGATGTCGCAACTTCGCAACGCCCTCACTGCCAGAGGAGCCAGAGAGGAGCACAGGAAAATGAAGCTTGCAGGATCTAGTACCCATTACGATTCTCACAACTTGCATATCTCAGATTTTCCTGAAGGTTATATGAGGTCAGGTCATTTTCATGACCTCACCATTATAGGTCAATGGAAAAAATGAGAACTGATATTCTGGCGCCGGGAACAATCTCCAACTATCCCAAGCACACAGAATCGTGATTTGATGCATTCCTTGCAAGGTTAGATGCGTCACTTTTGCAATGCTGACCTTGCGTGACGTCATTTATGACGTCATCAAGGTGATATTAGTTTTTCGTCAATAACTCCCGATCAAATTGAGCTAGCGAGTCGGGAAAGGCACCAATGGACTCAGGAAGACCTGACGAATCGAATTATATGCAACATGACCTACATCGACCAATTTCGTGACCTGGGGGCGCTGACCTGACCGTGACTTGAGGTCAGCACCCTATGTTGACCTCACCCAAACAAAAAGTATATCATTCGACGCGCCTGAGCAAGGCGAACGCGATGCTGCCAAAATCGCGGCTCTGCGGCCGTTTTTTGCGAAGTTATTCACCCAAAACGGAACCGTACCTTGGGGCACTTGAACTGACCTCAGAGTTCACTGATTGACCTAGGACCTTAACCCGCGCCCTGCTGGGGGGGGGGGGGTGTTTGAACACCCCCCCCCCTGTGGTTTTTCGCGAATATCTCAAAAACGGCGGCGCGGAGCGCCGCCGTTTTTGGTACACCTTATCATACATCAATTCTACACATGTTGTGAAAATTTCAGACCAAGGTCATTCAAGATCAGGTCACCAGGTCACTTGAAGTGACCTCACCTCATAAAAAGTTTCAATGTCTGTCATAGCTACACCGAGTGACCGATCGCTTTGAAACTTTCAGCGATTGCTAAGAGCAATAGCGTGTACAAAATGTATATCTCAGAATTTTGATATCGATGACCTAAGGTCAGGTCAATTTTGCGACCTCCCCATTATAAGTCAATGGGAGAAAATTGAAATGCGCCTCTTTTGGACGAAAGACATTATAAACACTCCCAAACACCGAATTACAAGTGGTGTAGACACACTAAACATGAAAATGGTGTCCGTGACCCTTGTTTGTGCCCTGAGGTCATCTTAGGTCACGAATGGTATCTAACAGTTTTTCGCAAATAACTTTTGATAGAGGCATGCCAGAGCGACGAAAACGCCTTATATGTGTTCAGCTCGACGATACGGATCGACTGATATGCAACATGACCCTTTCCGGTCAGGTCATGACCTTGACCTGAGGTCAAATTTTCAAGTTGACCTTTCAAGGTCAAGTTATAGTTCATTCGATGCGTCTTGACAAGAGGAACACGATGCCGGTAAAAGTAAGCTCGTACAAGGCTTGGGTCAAAAGTTATTGCAGAAAAACTGTTTCCAAAAAAATCGGCTATTTTTGCAGTTTTTGCCCCCTGCAGGCAAAACCGTTGACGTTAGGTCAAATCTGAGAGAATTACTCAGAAAGGGCGTTAATAGGGCTATCGAATGCACTTTTCCGCGGCGCTGTAGCTCTATTGGTTCCCGAGTTATGCGTAGGCTTCTTGGAAATTTTCGACATTCGACCTGGAAATCGGCGAAATTTTGCCTTCAATGACCTCTGGTGACCTGACCTTTGACCTGACCAAAAAATTGACCGAAGTGATTTCGTCATTATTTTTTACGCTCTTTCGAACGCCGCCTTCCGCGTATCGCTACGTGGCCCAGGAGCCGAGTTACAAGGGGGGTGTTCAAACACCCCCCCCCCAGCAGGGCGTGGAAATCCAGGACCCCCAGCCGGGCGCGGGTTAACCCTCGCGGGCACAGGGGGGGTTGATGGAACCCCCTAAGGTTTTTCGCAAATAGCTCGCGTAAAAAGTGGCCGATCGCGACGAAACTTTCAGTACCCTCGCATTGATCAATTTTACACCTACCCTGAAAATTTCATGACCCTGACCCAAATGATCTTAGACCTGTGACCTCTTTTCCGAGACCATCTTTGACCGGAATCGCGATTCGGTGTATGTCGGCTCGCATTAGCCGCGCGTTTGCAAGCTTTTCGTGGTTTCAAACGTTCAAACATGTGATTTGATGTTGCTCCCATGCATTAGGGTGGGTGTCAAGGTCACCTGATGCCACGGCCTGCCACGGCAGGCTGCCTACGGCCTGCCACCACCCTTTGTGCCGTCGAAGGACTCAAAATAGCCTGTGCCGGCGAGGGATAAAATCGGGTATCAATCTCTGCGTCTCGTAACGGGGCACACGCTCGTTTTTTGCCGCGACACGCTAGCTCCACCAGGGGTGAAACGGCGACGGGGGTCGTACCCCGCTCCTCCCCCCCCCCCCCCCTCGGCCGGCGCGTATGTAGAAAACCAATAGGTCCGCCGAGGGTGAAATGATAGTTCAACTTTCAATTCTTTATCTTTTTCCGCTTCTTTCTGAGTTGATGCGTAGTTATAAAGCAAGTTTTCTTATACAAAGATATGCATACTTTCTGGTGTGCTGACTAGCACCAATCAACCAACAACAATACAATACAATACAATACAATACCAATTACCATACCCATCAATATGCCGCTGTAGGCGTTGATCTTTTGTAGGTGCCTGAACTAAGTCGTTTAACAATCCTCACTATAAGTGGGGTTCCATTTGTCTTCGTAATCATGCGTGTAGCTGACTAGACCAAACATCGCTTACGTCACCGACTGCCGCCGACGCCGACTGGCGCATCGCTCGCCGTCCAGGAGGGCACCCTCGGTCCCTTGGTGACCTTCACCCATGTACTCTGTGACTGCGCACAGCGCAGCTCGCGGCAGGTAAGTGTGGGGACGGGCGGCTCGTGACCTGCACGGCTATCTGGGTTTGTGAGAGGGGCGTCGAGGCCAGACTGAAATCAGCATTTTTCAAATTTAGCCCGAACCTTTTGGATGGAAGGATTCACAATGACAGAGCCCCCGCTAACCGAAGCTTGGTGCGGTGACTCTGCCCTCTAACCTCCGATCGCGCAATTCCGGTTCTATGGCAGAATTTGGAGTTTTAATTAAAGTTTAATAACGTGCGCACATAGCCGCGCACGACCGGTCCCCTCACTGACTTCGCCTGGCTACGGCCTGCTACGGCCTGCCACCAACCGCAACCATGTCTGTCAGGAGGCCCATGAACGTCATACGCCCGTCGTGCTTCGATCCCGGACTGTTGTAAACGGAACGCGTGCTCTCACCATGCGGAGGCCAACGCTCTACCGACCGAGCTAAGGGACAGGCAGCAGCCATGTGGGTGGTGGCTGTAACGGTTCTGGTGATGCTGGTAGCATTGGTGTGGCACAGGAAAACGTCGAACAAAAACCTTGCACCAGGTGAAGAAAAGTACCTATCTTCATTGGTCAGTGTCCATCATCGAGTTACATCTAACCACTTTTAGCCCTCGCCGGACCTATTGGTTTTCTACATACGCGCCGGCCGAGGGGGGGGGGGGGGCGGGTACGACCCCCCCTCGCCGTTTCGCCCCTGGTGGAGCTAGCGCGTCGCGGAAAAAACGAGCGTGTGCGCCGTTACGAGACGCAGAGATTGGTACCCGATTTTAAGGTCCTAGGTCATCTGGTGACCTCTGAGGTCAGGTCAAGTGCCTCAGGGTACGGTTCAGTTTTTGGTGAATAACTTCGCAAAAAACGGCCGCAGAGCGCCGATTTTGGCAGCATCGTGTTCGCCTCGCTCAGGCGCGTCGAATGATATACTTTTTGTCCGGGTCAGGTCAACTTGGGGTGTTGACCTCAGGTCAAGGTCAGGTCAGCACCCCCAGGTCACGAAGTTGGTCGAAAGAGGTCATGTCGCATATCATTCGATTCGGCAGGCCTTCCTGAGTCCATTGGTGCCTTTCCCGACTCGCTAGCTCAATTTGATCAAGAGTTATTGACGAAAAACTAATTTGACCTTGATGACGTCATAAATGACGTCACGCAAGGTCAACATTGCAAAAGTGACGCATCTAACCTTGCAAGGAGTGCATCAAATCACGATTCTGTGTGCTTGAGATAGTTGGAGATCGTTCCCGGCGCCAGAATAGCAGTTTGAATTTTTCCCCATTGACTTATAATGGTGAGGTCACGAAAATGACCTGACCTCATATGACCTTTAGGAAAAATCCGAGATGTACAAGTTGTGGGACTCATAATGGATACTAGATACTGCAAGTTTCATTTCCCTGTGACATCTCCTCTGGCAGTGAGGGCGTTGCGAAGTTGCGACATCTGAAGACCGTGCAGAGGTTCACTTATGACGTCATAGGTCAGTGACCTGACCTGACCCAAAAATGCGATTAGTGTCAAAAGATCCGGCTTGGATCAAAGGTCAGGTATGCCAAGTTTCAGCTCTCTATCGCCAGCGTGTTCGGAGCTATCGCGAAAAAACCCTATGGGGGGGCGGCACCCGCCCCCCCCCCCCCCTCGGCCGGCGAGGGTTAAGTTTTTGTCATGGTATGTCATGTATCTTATGACATGATGCGTTATAACGTAAAATATGCAACCTGAGCACAAAATACACGTTTTCGTTAATCATAAACGGATTCAGGCACGCCAAGATGGGAGGCAGTACATTGATATTATTATTTTCTCTTTATAGGCGAATCCATGTACCTTTCTCAGGTACATGGATTCGCCTATTCCAATATTTTCATTGTAAAATGACGTCACATAGTTTTAACCCTCGCCATCCGGGGGGGGCGCCCCCATAGGTTTTTTCGCAATAGCTCTGAGCACGCCGGCGATAAAGAGCTGAAACTTTGCACACGTGACCTTTCATTCAATCCGGATCTTTTCACACCAAACGCATTTTCGGGTCAGGTCAGGTCACTGATTTATGACGTCATAAGTGAGCCTCTGCACGGTCTTCAGATGCTGCAACTTCGTAACGCCCTCACTGCCCGAGGAGCTTCAACAGGGAAATAAAACTTGAGGATCTAATATCAATTACGAGTCTCACAACTTGTATGTCTCGGGTTTTCCTAAAGCTCATATGAGGTCAGGTCATTTTCGTGACCTCAACATTATAAATCAATGGGTAGAAATGCAAGGTAAGATGCGTCACTTTTGCAATGCTGACCTTACGTGACGTCATTTATGACGTTATTAGGGTCATATTTTTTCGGTAATAACTCCCGATGAAATTGAGCTAGCGAGTCGGGAAAGCCTTCAATGGACTCAGGAAGACCTGCCGAATCGAATGATATGCGACATGACCTCCTTCGCCCAGCCTCGTGACCGGGGGCGCTGACCTGACCGTGACCTGAGGTCAACACCCTAAGTTGACCTCATCCAAACAAAACGTATACCATTCAACGCGCCTGAGCGAGGCGAACACGCTGCTGCCGAAATTGCGGCTCAGCGGCCGTTTTTTGCGAAGCTTTTAACCAAAAACGGAACCGTACCTTTGGGCACTTTACCTGAACCCAGAGGTCACCGGTCTGAACTAGAACCTTAAAATCGGGTATCAATCTCTGCGTCTCGTAGCGGCGCACACGCTCGTTTTTACCGCGACGCGCTAGCTCCACCAGGGGCGAAACGGCGAGGGGGGTCGTACCCCCCTGGCCGTCTGCGTTATGAAAAAGGCCATGGCCTGGCGAGGGTTAACCCGCGCCCCACTGGGGGGGCTATTTATAGCCCCCTCCCGTTTTTCTGCAATAACTTCCAAACCGCTTGACGTATCGACGCCAAACTTTCAGTACCTTCGGCTGCATCAATTTGACACCTTGTGTCAAAATTTGAACTTCGTACCTACCATAGGTCGGCCGGAAATGACGTCAGAGTGACGTCATGTTCGGCCGATTTCGACGCAAAACATTGAACCACGGCAATCGCTCCCAAGAGCTCAGTTTTTAAGCTAGATCCAATTTCTTTGCATGAGAGGACTCAGAATAGACTGCGCTATCAAACTGCTATCTCGGATTTTCGAAATTTTGAAAATTTCGAAAATTTTAAATAATAAAATTCAAAATTTATATTTTTACATTTTTTTCAAAAAGTTTTTGACTTTTCGAACAAACCGGAATATATGTGATAGAACGCATTATTATGACTACCTCTAGCAAGTTTTAGCTAAATATCTTCAAAAATGGCCAAGTTATACGCATTATTACAAAAAATTAACAATTATTAATTTTTCAAATCAATTTTTCAGCACGAATTTGACATCGTACGCCAATATAAATAGCACCATCGTGTTGCTGAGCTCAAACTGCATCGAATAGACACCTTTTTTGTTGAAAAATTTTAACTTCAAAATTTGACCTTTTTTGACCTGAAAGTGACCTGACCTAAGCTAAATTTGACTCAAAATGACCTCGCATGACACAGACGACATCAAATTCGAAATGTTTGGCCTAAATGGACCATAAAACATGTGTCACGTGACCGACGGATGATATAATATTTTCGTGACCTGTGATGACCTGACCTTGACCTGAAAATCAAAGTACAAGTTTGGTACCCTCAGAGTATCTAGAGCATCTGTTCACGAGTGTGTGAACCAAAAATGAGCCTGATCTGACTTGTAAGACGGCGGCCAGAGCCCAAAACGTGAAGAAGCCAAAATGCTAATAATTTTTACTTTGACCTGACCTGTGACGTCATCAGTGACCTCGAGGTCAATAAAATTAGGTTTCGCTCGACAGTTTTTCCGGGGCTATCAGACGCCGTTTGAATTTTGACGATCGGCCCAGTAGTTTCGGAGTTAGGAGGGGGGGGGCTATGAATAGCCCCCCCCCCCCCCCAGTAGGGCGTGTTATACGCAGACCCCAGTGGGGCGCGGGTTAAATCGTACCTACCGTCAATACTCAGTAACATCACAGAGAACTATTCTTCACACGAACCAGTTCGTCTTGCCATCAGCTCGACATTACGAATGTATGTATTTCCAGCGTCATTTACTCACGACCATTGACCAGACAGGGCATGATTGCTTACTGACACCCGTCATAGACCCAGTTGAAACTGTACTTCTTGTACGGCCTTGCTCTCGACGACCGGCTTTGAGACCTATGTTTCATACCCGCTCCAGCACAAGCTCGTACGGTGATGGCTCGCGAACGAGCATCTTTTTCTGGTTACAGCTGAGGTCGTGGTCGAAGCCGTCCGGGAACCGCAGCGAGTAGCGCTGCAGCAACGCCGTGACAAACAGGAAGAGTTCGGCACGCGCCAGGGCCTCCCCCAGACACGACCGTTTGCCGACCGAGAACGGCATCAGGGCGCGATTCGGCTTGACACGACCCTGGTCGTCGAGGAACCGCTCTGGGCGGAACACCTCCGGCTCCGGGAAGTGCTTTTCGTCCATGTGAACGGCCATCAGCAGCGAGATGACTTGGGCTCCGCGCGGGATCGTGTAGCCTCCAAGCTGAATCTCTTCACGAGTCACGTGCTCCACACCGGTGGGGACTGTGTTGGCCACGCGCTGGGTCTCCATTATGAAGGCCTCTGTGTAGGGCATGCGGGTCCGATCAGACAGGGCCGGTGGACGCTCCTTGCCAACGACGTTGGTGATCTCCTCTCGTACCTTTCGCTGGACTTCCGGATGCTGACACAGATAGATAAAGGCCCATTCGATGGTCACTGCAGTGGTATCATGGCCTGCCAGGAAGAGGTCCAGGATGGAGCGAATCATGTGCCTGTTGGTGAAGAGCTGCGGGTTGCGACTGCGCTCCTGCAGCATGCAGTCGATGTAGTCGCGAGGCTCGCCATTCAGGTCTACCGTTCGCTCATGTTCATCGAGCGCTGGTTGGAGAAGTGTGTCGATGGGACCGTTGAATATCTTGTAGACCTTGCTCAGACCATTAAGCCAATGGGGTAGTCTCAACAGTATCGGAAACATAGCCAGCACGACGAAGCGGCCGACAAACCCTGATATCTCGTCGAAGGGTCTCAAAACATCAAGTGCTCGGGTGTCGGTTACAGCGAATTTCTGGCTGGACACCATACCCCAGATGACGTTGGAAATGGCAATGCGTAGGCTGCGGTCAATGTTGAGTGGTTTTCCTTCGCTCGGTGCAACCACCTTATCTAACAGGTCCTGGACGTGGTCTTGGATGACGCTTTCCAGTTTTGCGCCACCCATCCCAAAGTTCCGCAAATGGTGGAGAGAGAAACGACGTGACTGCTTCCAAAGTTCTCCGCTGCTGAAGATCAGGCCTTTGTCAGCGTAGAAAAGGGCCATGATCACATTGGATATACGATCTGCTGCCTCGGCTTTACTGAAGGCCTCCCGAATCAGGTCTGGTTCAGATAGCACAATTAGATGTTCAGACATCGATGTTATGTGGAATATGGGGCCATATTGTTTCTTCCACGCTAAGAAATGAAGCTCCTTTCTGGGATCAACAGCTTTGGTAAGCTGTCCGATCACGGGAAGGCCTCCAGGACCTGGAACGAAAACAGACAAGATGACATGACGATCACCTGCTCGATACGTCTGCCAAAGTGATTTCTGTGAAAACGTAGATTATACGTAATCAGCTCGATAATTGGCATAGCAGTATTGTATAACATACATATTGTCAGCAAGCGCAGCCAACCGTCCCAATTCGCTTTTGTCTTCTCCATGAATCATGTGACACGCATCTGGGAGCAAGCGATAAAACATTGGTCCGATAAAATATGTTTATATGTAGAAGGTATGTAATGACTCAGAATATGTCTTTCACGGGCCAGATCAAATGGTTTTACAGATGAAAGCGTCCGGATGCCTTGGGCTGATCTGTAACATCCATTGTCCACCTCCAGGGACTCCCTTGTCCATGGCGGCACTACTGCTACCTACACTTATTTGATTTCCGGTATGTTTCACCACATGACGCAACGCGTATCGACTATCGTAGTATTAGTTTCCATGGAAACATTAACAAACTCGGACGCTCTCAATTATAAGAGCGTTCGGGTTTGGCGTTTGGAAAACCAATGCCTACCGCGATACGCGAAGCGCACTGTAGCCTCTTGCCGTGAAACAGGGCCCTGGACATACGGCTGCTCTGTGTATGATGATTCATTTACGACTCTAAAGACCGTCTACACTGTAATACCTAATGTATCACCACGCGATTGATAGAGGGGGAAGTTGACTTAGTTACTTGAGGACCTTAACCAGCACATGGGTGTGGCTGCTTTGCTAAGGGGAAAATGCAAAGCGGATATCGAGTGGCATTATATGGTGGTCGCTATGATAACCATGGCAGAATGTTTTCATATGGTTTCTTCGATGGCATCGTCACCAGTGCTCTATGTGTGTTTAGTGTTCGCGAGGTTTCAACAAATTTGGAAGGTTTACAATGGACCTTGCATAATATTGATCGCTCAAGTGTTTAATCTGCTTTGCTATGACTTTGCATAACACGTTTTCCAACCGCAAAATTCATTGGTCCTGAGTCCTGGCTATCAAGACAGTAGCAAACACTTCCATGTTCTGTTCACGCGACGTTATGTTTCATTTGAGACGGCAGACTCTAAAACACTTAATTTCAGCTGGTGTGAAAGAGATAGGCCAGCTGCACTTAACACTCGCCAATTAACGCACACCGAGCGATCAATTGTATAATCGCACCGCTGGATGTCTCACCTGGTGGAAGGTTTTTGTTTGTTGTTTTCCTGTGCCACACCAGTGCCACCAGCACCACCAGAACCGTTACAGCCACCACCCACATGGCTGCTGCTCTAGTCTTCGTTACTAGCCGGAACAGCTCCCTCTCAGCGCGGCTCGACGCGCACGCTGCGACGCCTCGCTTCTCCCCGAAGCGTCGACACGAGCCGCGCCCCTATCGCCGGTCGTATAGCCCAAGGTCACGAGATGAGCAGGCGGCCCAGAGGGCGCTGTAGGAGGCGCCAGGTGAAGTGGTGCTTAGCGTCTGGCCAGCGCAGTCCTCATGAGACGCGCTGTAGCCTTGGTGTGGGGAAGGTGCGTGAATGAAACAAACAGATGCTATCCTCAAGGACACCTACAGTTCATTGTTCAATCAGGATGATTCATGGAGGAGCGGAGGGAGAATCTGACAAGCTCCGGAGACGGTGAAATGATTTTTATTGAATCGAAATTTATCTGGCACCACTACAACTGGTTGTAGGAGGTGGCAATAGTGCAGTTAGCCTAAAAACGTTATTGAATACCTCCGTCGTCCGTTCCATTGTTTCCATCCTCAGGATAGTCAAATCCTTCTCCTCCGCCTTCAAACCATTTCCTGTTCCGGGCTGGACAGTCCCCTTTATCCAACATGAGTAGCGCCACCTCAGGAGCGGGCCCGTAGCCAGGTGCGGGGACCGCTAGCGGGGATGGCGGCCTGTCCATGTGATGGGCTCAGCCCCGGCGGGTCACCAGGGTGCCCGCCCAGACCAATGTAGCTCCCCCTAATTCCCATCGTCTATCCGGTTCTGCAATGGTCTCGTCAGACCGATAGAGCCTCACACTTGGGACACAAATTCGGGTGACGTCTCACGTAAAAATCATACGGAAGAGGACCCTCAATTTCACGTATTCCCGACATGTGACATTCCCACAGCAGAATGAAACGAATTACGCACACGTTCCACTTAACCCGGCAGTTGCTGGGGTATTTCGCCACCCACCGTTTGCTGGGGGGGGGGGGGGCGTTAAACGCCCCCAGCCGATAACTCGAGAACCAATAGGCGCAGCGAAACGCACGAGGCGGCAAACGAAAGAGCGCGACGAGACGCTTCAGATGAGTACTTTAAAGTTGAATTTTGAGGTCACAGGTCGGGTCAAGGTCAGGTCAAACACCTGAAATCGGGCTTTCAGTAGCATGGACTTCAGGACTTCGCAATGGGCGCCTCTCGCCATAAACTCTGTCAAAACGGTGCACAATCCATCTTATAAGGCCTACAAGAGTGTCAGCTCCATGTAGGGGTCAGTCAAGCATAGGTCAGGGTCAAGGTCAGGTCAACCGGGTAGACACATATCCTCGAAAATCAAAACTGATATTCGCAGCCTGTGACACATGTTTTATAGGTAATTTGGGGCGTAGAACACGATGGTGACATTCATTTTATCATATGTGTACGTGTTTGGCTCAAAAAGTTCAATTTAAGAATTTCATTTATCATGGTCGTGAAGTAGTCACGAAAAATTGCCAAGATTCAGTTCAAGATTATGGAAAATGCGGAACGACAATCAATAATCGAAGATAGCAATTTGATTGATCATGGTATTGGCAGTCTAATGGCGTTTACGGCATGTCTGTATGTCTATTCTGTGATTTTATATGATTTTTTGAACATATGCCGTTTTTGGTCGAAAACTCAGAAATCATGACGTCACTAAAACCTCGATATTTCAAAAATTTTCCGACCGATTTTTTTGAAACTTTGTCACAATAAACTTCAATCAATTCCCTACAGGTACCCAAAATTTGGCGCGCCTGCGGCGCGTCGTTTTTATGCTATGGCCCGGCGAAAAAAGTGGGGGCGTTTAACGCCCCCCCCCCCCAGCAACTCGCGGGTTAATAGATCCGTTAAAGCAGCAAGCAGTGACCAGCATGAAAAATTCATATGCGCACTAAGGGTGCGCTCTCTGCTGGAGATGGCATTAACCCGGCCGGGCCCTGGGGGTAATCTCAACCACCGCAGCCCGGGGGCGTTTTTCGCCCCCCCCCCCCCCCCGTCTAACTCCGTAAATAAGGGAGATACGGAAGCAAAACTGATACCAAACGAAAGGTTCTTAAAGACGATTCTAAAGCACCTACAATCTTTGAGCTCAAGTCAATTTTGAAGGTCAGAGGTCTAGGTCAAAGGCAAAAACCGGCACATGTGCAGTGATCTCAAAGTAAGCGTTCTAGAGGACGGCAGGATGCATAAAACCGGCAAAATTAGGTGTCAAACGAAAGACGAGAATCTGAGAATTCCGCAAAAGTGCTCCAAATCAACGGTCAAGGTCAAGGTCATGCTCAAAATTGACCTCAAACTTTGCACTTTTTCGTACATCTTGCGTGCTAATTTTCAAGATGTTTTGAAATGTTTTGAGGCTTATCAGGTCCCTATTTGTGGTTCATCTTACGATACAAGGCTGCTCAAAGGTCAAGGTCACACAAGAGTTTCCTTGCTAGAGGCGATTTCACTGATTTAAGTAAGCAATAATAAATAAGACAATTTTGCCATCCGGAGGTTCTAAATGGAGGATTAGAGGAAAATGGATGCCAGATTCGTGATCAGCGGGTACGAATCTATCATATACGACCTTTCATATGTCAAGGTCAACCAAAGGTCATTCGAGGTCACATGAGGTCAACATAAAACTTAACCCTCGCCCGTATTGGTGTTTTTCTAGCCACGAACGTGTACCTAAGGGGGGGGGGGGGATCCGTTGGACCCCCTTGCCGTTTCGCCCCTGATCGAGCTAGAGCTTCGCGGAAAAAGCAAGTGTGTTGCCCGTGACGAGAGGAAGCCGAAGATACCAATTTTAAAGTCCTAGGTCATTGGTTGACCTTCCAGGTCAGGTCAATGACCCAAAAGTCGGGAAAATCGGGACCTGTTAGAATGTCGTAAAGTGTGGCTGCTATAGGGTTTTTCGGGGTGCTGATCACGAATATCATGTTAGTTTTGATCACAGATGATGTCTTCATGCATTTAGGCCAGGTCGGGTCAGGTCAGGTCAGGTCAACCAGTAGGGGTCCTGCCGGGTATTCGTAGTAGGTGTCAACCGCCTCTGACAGCTTCGTAACATGTTACGAAGGCACCAAAACTATTTCGTAAACGTTCATATGGCTGTTAAATTCGAATTCAGCTCCAAAAACTGGCCTAGAAACATGTAAAACTCGAAAAAGTGAACCGAGGTCATCAAAGGTCAATGACCTGACCTGACCTTCAGATGACCTTGACACACACCCTAATGCATGGGACTAACGTCATTTCAGATGTTTGAACGCTTGAAACCACGAAAAGACTGCAAACGCGCCGCTAATGCGAGCCGACATACGCCGAATCGCGATTCCGGCCAAACATGGTCTCAAAAAGTAGGTCACAGGTCAAAGGTCATTTGGGTCAGGGTCATGAAATTTCAGGGTAGGTGTAAAATTGATAAACTCGAGGGTACTGAAAGTTTCATCGCGATCGGCCGCTTTTTACGCGAGTAATTTGCGAAAAACCGAGGGGAGTCAGTTCGACCCCCCCTAATACGGGCGAGGGTTAACCCTCGCCTCGTTGGGGGGGGGGGGGTAATTTGGCCCCCCTGTGGTTTTTCCTGAAAAGCAAGAAAACGGCAAATTTTAAGTACCTTCCCGGGCATCAATTTGACACCTTCACACCAAATTTCAAGTCTTAGGTCACCTTAGGTCAGGAGTTATTGAGGTCAAACTTAGGTCATGTTCGAGCAAAAATGGGCAAAAAAACATGCAATCTTGAAACGCTCACCAAATCTACATTTACCAAGCAATTTCAAAGTTGTTTACATGGTCAAGTAGAGAAAAAGCGGCGCTACAAAACTGCTATCTCGGATTTCCAAATTTTAGGTTTTTGACCCCAAAAATTCCAAAAAATTGATTTTTTAAGAAAAACTAAAAAAATCCAATTTTTTCTAATTTCGAAAAATCCGAAATATATGTGATAGTCCCTGCGCTGTTCTATGTACATACCAAATTTCAGATCGATATCTCATTTTTTGGCCAAGTTATAGCGAAAAAAAAAACTGTTCAAAAATGATGACGTCAAATTTGTGAACTCAATTTTTAGCGATTCTAGACGACGTAGGGCAAAACAAAGACCACCATTGAACTCCCCGTGACGAGCTGCATCGAACCTCTACCCATTTAATGCAAAAATATCAACTTTGAAATTTGACCTATTTTGACCTGACCTTGACCTGACCTTGACCTGACCTTGACCAAAACGTGACCTAAGCTCGCCCTAAAGGCTGCCTGACCCACAAAATCGCATTTGTCATGTAAAATGGACCATAAAACATGCATCACACGACACTTTCATATTGTGACCCCCCAGTGACCTGACCTCTGTGACCTGACCTGGTATCAATGACCTCAAATAGCAAATTATGTGTTTGAAGAACATTTCCCTACCGATGATTTTCAATGAAATGCATTTTACTCGATTTTACAACGCATTTCTTGAAATGCCTGTAAACGGTGAAAATTCGACCTTTGACCTGACCTGTGACGTCATCGGTTTGACCTAGGTCAATAGAATTGGGTCACAAGGTGGGTCCCTAATAGGGCTTCCAACACCGTTTGCGGCTTGTCGCTAGGTTGCGTGGCTCTCGAGATCTTAGTGGGGGGAGGCAAATTGCCCCTCCCCCCCAACAGGGCGCGTTGCTCGGCAGAGCCCAACGGGGCGCGGGTTAACCTTTTCCAAACAAATATAGGTATATATCATTCGACACGGCTTGACAAGGCGAATGCGATGGTACCACTGACATAGATCTAGGGCCATTTTTGTCGAAGTTATATGCGAAAAACTAAAACCACCTTTCGGGGTCGTAAACAAAAAATTGTGATTGCCGCGTTTCCCGCGTCGGCCGATCCCGCTTCAGCCGGCGACATCTTACCCTTGGCAGGCTTCTAAGTTCTAACTGCCATATTTATTGTTGGATTAACAAGAAATTCACCATACCTACGCAAAAATGTATATTCTTTCGTATAGCGTAAGAATAAGGAAAAACGACCGGTAACTTTTTGAGTTATCGGCGTGTAAACGCAAAAAAGTCGCTCATATGGCAGATTTGACCACATTTGACCTCATTTGACCTTGAAGATATTGACCTAGGGTCATGCCATTTACACACAACAGATTTCCCAAGGGCCTTCACCTACCGTCCAAATTTCGTCTTTCTAGCTCCAGTGGGAGCTGAGATCTTAGGGGGGGGGGCGACATCCGCCCCTCCCCCCTTCCACTGGGCATAGTACTCGCAGCCCTTCCACTGCGCGTGTTAATGGTGATAGATACGCAAAATACTGCAGAACTCTATTCATACCAAGAAATACCTATAGTTAGTAGGGAAATTTCCCTCGCCAGGCGAGAGCCTTCTTCATAACGCGGACGGCGAGGGGGGTTAGTACGAGTACGAGCCCCCCCCCCCTTTCCCTGGCGATTGGCTCCTATCGTTAATATGGTACAAGCTCCATATACCTAGAAGCGGGCATTGGGTTTCAGATTGTTAGATGATGAGTAAAATCTAAGTCATTTCGCGCCTGGGCGAGGCAAACACGATGCTGCCAAAATCACGGCTCTGCGGTCATTTTTTGCGAAGTTATTCACCAAAAACGGAACCGTGCCTTAGACCACGTGACCTGACCTCAGAGGTCACCCGTTGACCTAGGACCTTAACCTTCCAGGAGTTGGGGGGGGGGCATTTTTTGCCCCCCTTTAGTTTTTTCAATATATCTCGAGAACCGCTACGCCGATCGTCACCAAACTTTCAGTACCCTCCCGGGAGCAGCTAGCGCACATGGTGACTAAAATTTTTCCAAAGGCTATGATAGGTTGGCCGCTAATGACGTCAGAGTGACGTCATTTTTGCTATTTTCGACCCAAAAAAAGGTTTCGCGGGAAGAGCTGTCAGGCCTACAGCTTTAGAGATACAGGACAATGTTTTTCACATAAAAGGTGCGGAATCAACAGCGCTACAAAACTGCTATTTCGGTTTTTCGATTTTTTTTGGATTTTGACCCCCAAAAATCAAAAAATAGATTTTTTGAATATAATAGCCAAAAAATCGAAAAAGTTTTTGAATTTCGAAAAAAAACCGGAACATATGGGATAGTCCCTACCGCCTTCTATCTACATACCAAACTTGAGATCGATACCTCTATTTTTGGCCAAGTTATAGCGAAAAAAACTGTTCAAAATTGATGACGTCAAATTTTCAAAATCAATTTTTAGCAATTCTGGACCTCGTAGCGCAAAACAAAGACCACCATTAGACTCCCCGTGACGATCTGCATTGAATCGATACCCATTTTATGCAAAAATATCAATTTTGAAATTTGACCTTTTTTGACCTGACCTTGACCTGACCTCCACCAGAAAGTGACCTAAACCGTACCTGATCGTCTTATAATCAACACCATTGAGTTGGAAATGAAAAACTGGCCATAAAACATGCATTACATAACCTTAGTTAAGTTGGGCTCATGTGGTGACCCTTGGTGACCTTTGGTGACCTGACCTGTGACCTGACCTGGTATGACCAGTGACCTCTAATAGCAACATATGTACTAGACAACTGACGCCTTATCGCTGATTTTCGACAAAATGCGTTTTACTCGGTGTTGTAGCGCTTTCCCTAGAACGGTGAAACATTTTATCTTTGACCTGACCTGTGACGTCATCGGTGACCCCGAGGTCAATGAAATTTAGTTTCTTTCGACAAATTTGACAGGGCTATCGAACGCCGTTTGAATTTTGCGGATCCGTCCAGTAGTTTCGGAGATACGGGGGTGGCAAAAAAATGCCCCCCCCCCCCACCGCGTGGAAGGTGGCTGGTAGGCCCACCGCCTGCCGGGTTAAAATCGGGTACCAATCTCTGCGTCTCGTAACCCGGCAGTTGCTGGGGCCACCCACCGTTTGCTGGGGGGGGGGGGGGGCGTTAAACGCCCCCAGCCGATAACTCGAGAACCAATAGGCGCAGCGAAACGCACGAGGCGGCAAACGAAAGAACGCGACGAGACGCTACAGATGAGTACTTTAAAGTTGAATTTTGAGGTCACAGGTCGGGTCAAGGTCAGGTCAAACACCTGAAATCGGGCTTTCAGTAGCATGGACTTCATGACTTCGCAATGGGCGCCTCTCGTCATAAACTCTGTCAAAACGGTGCACAATCCATCATATAAGGTCTACAAGAAAGTCAGCTCCATGTAGGGGTCAGTCAAGCATAGGTCAGGGTCAAGGTCAGGTCAACCGGGTAGGCACATATCCCCGAAAATCAAAACTGATATTCGCAGCCTGTGACACATGTTTTATGGGTAATTTGGGGCGTAGAACACGATGGTGACATTCATTTTATCATATGTGTACGTGTTTGGCCCAAAAAGTTAAATTTAAGAAATGCATGTATCATGGTTGTGAAGTAGTCACGAGAAATTGCCGAGATTCAGTTCAAGATTTTGGAAAATGCGGAACGCTAATCAATAATCGAAGATAGCCATTTGATTTTTCATGGTATTGGCAGTCTAATTGCGTTTACGGCATGTCTGTATGTCTATTCTGTGATTTTATATGATTTTTTGAACATATGCCGTTTTTGGTCGAAAACTCAGAAATCATGACGTCGCTAAAACCTCGATATCTCAAAAAATTTTCCGACCAATTTTTTTGAAACTTTGTCACAATAAACTTCAATCCATTCCCTACAGGTAGCCAAAATTTGGCGCGCCTGCGGCGCGCCGTTTTTATACTATGGCCCGGCGAAAAAGTGGGGGCGTTTAACGCCGCCCCCCCCCCCAGCAACTGGCGGGGTAACGGCACACACGCTTGTTTTTTCCGCGACGCGCTAGCTCCACCAGGGGCGAAACGGCGAGGGGGTCGTACCCCCCCCCCCCTCGGCCGTCGCGAATGTAGAAAACCAATAGGTCCGGCGAGGGTTAAGGGAAGATGCCAAACGAATATCCCAGAGAGCATGCTAAACTTGGCGGCGCTACGCGACGCCGTTTTAACGTCATTGGCGAAAAACCTTAGGGGATGCATCACCCCCTTTCTCGCCCGGCGAAGGATATGACGTTACCTGATAGCATGTGAAACAATAAAAGCCATTGACAATCATTTTTGATATGGTAGGCAAAAGAACAGCAATTTTATGGCAGTGATAACCGACGAAATGAATAAATACATGGTGTGGATTGGAACATAGGTATCCACTTTCATTTGTGGATAAATGAGGTAAATTTGTAGTTCTATTTATTTATCATATCCATCAACAAAGCACTGGAAATGCTTGACGCCTTTCAGCAAATAAGTTTCATACTCAACAGTAGCTTAGCGCAGGTGACTTTACCACCAGTCAGCACAAAAGCTGTCTCATGCGCATTGTGCATCACATGGCGACCTCACCATGGCAATAAACATGCGCATTGTGCACGTGTTGATGACTCGTCAGTTATGTTTCCGCTCCTCGCACGCGGCAGACGCCGGGCAAACAGCGTCACGGTGAGCCTTCACCAGCACCCCAACCCGAGCCGAGGGGCACCAGAGGCGCACGCAGGTCGTCGCTGGGGAAGGCGGCTCACACGGGTAGGGCGATCAGCCGACCTCACAGGGCAGGTCACAACATACTGATGGGACCGCGGAACCTGGGCCCCGATCTAACCAAATGCCGTGAATGCGCATTCACGGCATTTTGTAACATTTATAACTATTCCACATTCACTTATTCATTCATTCAGGCAACATTTATACACGCTATCAAAATCATTGGTCAGGATTAGCTAGATTTAAATAAAAAGGACATATTATTTAGATATCAGTGTCGTAAACTCCGGCCAGTGCTGCCAAGTCCTATTGACGGTATTGGTAAGATTGGGCCCTGGTGTCCGTTATCCCTCGCCGGTCCTATTGGTTTTCTACATACGCACCGGCCGAGGGGGGGGGGGGTACGACCCCCCTCGCCGTTTCGCCCCAGGTGGAGCTAGCGCGTCGCGGAAAAAACGATCGTGTGCGCCGTTACGAGACGCAGAGATTAATAACCGATTTTCAGGTCCTAGGTCAACCGGTGACCTCTGAGGTCAGGCCAAGTGCCCCAAGGTACGGTGCAGTTTTTGTGAATAACTTCGCAAAAAAAAAAAAACGGCCGCAATGCCGCGATTTTGGCAGCATCATGTTCGCCTCGCTCAGGCTCGTCGAAGGATATACTTTTTATTTGGGTGAGGTCAACTTAGGGTGTTGACTGTTGACCTTAGATCACGGTCAGGTCAGCGCCCCAGGTCACGAAATTGGTCGAAGTAGGTCATGTCGCATATCATTCAATTCGGCAGGTCTTCCTGAGTCTATTGGTGGCTTTAGCGACTCGCTAGCTCAATTTGATCGAAAGTTATTGACGAAAAACTAATATAACCCTAACGACGTCATAAATGACGTCACGCAAGGTTAACATTGCAAGTGACGCATGAATCTTGCAAAAAGTGCATCAAATGACGATCCTATGTGCTTGGGATAGTTGGATATCGTTTCCGGCGCCAGACTAGCAGTTTTAATTTTTCCCCATTGACTTATAATGGTGTGGTCACGAATATGACCTGACCTCATATGACCTTTAGGAAAAATCCGAGATATACAACTTGTGAGAATCGTAATGGATATTAGATCCTGCAAGTTTCATTTCCCTGTGAAAGCTCCTCTGGCAGTGAGGGCGTTGCGAAGTTGCGACATCTGAAGACCGTGCAGAGGTTCACTTAGGACGTCATAGGTCAGTGACCTGACCAGAAAGTGCAATTGGTGTCGAGGGATTCGGCTTGAATCAAAGGTCAGGTATGACAAGTTTCAGCTCTCTTTCGCCAGCGTCTTCGGAGCTATAGCGAAAAAACCCTATGGGGGGGGGGGGGCGGCACCCGCCTCCCCCCTCGGCCGGCGAGGGTTAAATCCAAGCATACTGTTATGTCACACACATACATACACCTACACCACGCAACTAGTTACATACAAAATTGCATGCTCATTGTAGCTACGTCTGCAATGCAGCGTGACGCGGCACCGTCAGCGCACACCCCGCGCGGGACGGACTCGGCACGCCACTGACCGGTGCTAGTATCGCTGGCATGACGTCAGCCCGACTACAAATACGTGCTGACTCAGCGTGTTGTGCTCAGTCATGTCGGAATGCTGCTGAGTGATCCACTCATAGTATATGCGTCTAGCAGGAGGGGCGACCCATAGTGCGGGGCCCGAAATTACCAGTCATGTGGACGGTGGCAGCGATTCTAGTGGGTATTGTGGTACTAGTGGTTCTCAGCCGCAGACTTTCCGAGAAAACATCGCCGCCAGGTGAGTTGTGCTCCCTGTGGAATCCGACGATATGCTCATGGATCCGCCGAGTGTTCAGCTTGTCATTTCAGTGAATCTCATAATAAAAGAGAGAGTAAGGTATAGGTATAATCAGACTTAATTTCATGGGAAAGCATGCGTGAGTTTAGACAGTGCAGTGGTGTAATTTTGCAACGAACTCCGTGGCAATGATCTAGTATGTATGGATCTCACAAAAGGCTGTCTATTTACGGGTATTCCTGAAAATGCATGACAATAAGCACCATATAACTGTGACTTAGGAGCTGTGATCACGGAGTGATCATTTCTTCTTCTTTCAGGGCCAAGAGGTCTCCCATTCATTGGCAACATCCTGGATTTGCAGCGAGAACGAAGAGAAACTGTTCTTCTGCGCTGGAAGGAGAAATATGGCCCGATATACCAATTCACGAGCCTAGGGATGACAAACTTTGTCATATCAGATCCCGACTTGATCAGGGAGGCCTTCAGTAAAGTTGAAACAACTGACCGACCAACAAACATCATTTTCAGTCTAGTAATGGCCGATAAAGGTCTTGTGTTCAGCAGCGGAGAGCTGTGGAAGCAGTCACGGCGCTTCTCACTCCACCATCTGAGGAACTTCGGTATGGGTCGCTCAACGCTGGAGACAGTCATCCAGGACCAGGTGCAGGAGCTGATTGACGATGTCCTGGCGCCGAACGTCGGTAAACCAATTTGTATCGATCACAGTCTGCGGGTGGCCGTTGTCAATATCATCTGGCGAATTGTGGCCAGCAAGAAAATCGATCGCACGGACACCGCTGCTCTGCAAGCTATGACGTCCTTCGATGAGTTCGATAGCTTCAAAAGTCTGTTCATTGTAGTACTAATGTTCCCGGTGTTGCTTCGACTGCCAGGATGGGTAACGGGAATGGACAAGGTTAGACAGAGGTTCAGAGAGTCCGTTAAAACACTGATGAGGCCGGCAATTCAAGAACATGAGGAGACGGTGGACCTGAATGGCGAGCCTCGCGACTACATCGACTGCATGCTGCAGGAGCGCAGTCGCAACCCGGAGCTCTTCACCAAAAGACACATGCTTCGCTGCATGATGGATTTATTTATTGCAGGCTACGACACGACCACTTCCACTCTGCGATGGGCCTTCATATATCTGACTTTACATCCAGAAGTGCAGCGCAAGGTGCAGGAAGAGATCACCAACGTCGTTGGCAAGGAGCGTCCGCCGGCCCTGTCGGATCGGACCCGCATGCCCTACACAGAGGCCTTCATAATGGAGACCCAGCGCATGGCCAACATCGCCCCCACCGGTGTAGAGCATGTGACTCGCGAAGAGATTCAGCTTGGTGGCTACACGATCCCGCGCGGAGCCCAAGTCATCTCGCTGCTGATGGCCGTACACATGGACGAAAAGCACTTCCCGGAGCCGGAGGTGTTCCGCCCAGAGCGGTTCCTCGACGAGCAGGGTCGTGTCAAGCCGAATCGCGCCCTGATGCCGTTCTCGGTCGGCAAACGGTCGTGCCTGGGGGAGGCCCTGGCGCGTGCCGAACTCTTCCTGTTCGTGACGGGACTCCTGCAGCGTTTCACGATTCGGTTTCCGGATGGATTCGACCACGACCTCAGCTGCATCGAGTACAAGAGACTGATCCGGAAGCCCACGGAATACCATCTGGTGATAATGGAAAATGTGTAGGGTTCTAGACTGTAAAGATGGCCATGGCATTACTGGCTGCTGTGTAAGTTCACGCCATTGTAAAATGCTCATATGTATGTGTGTTTTGTATGTGTGTTATGCATGTGTGTCATATGTATGTTTTTTATCTATTTTCTATCTGTACAATATATTTTTATGTTGAATTCATGATATAGTTGTCGAAGGACCAGCTTTGCAACTGTTTTAAGTTTTAACCCTCGCCCGCACATGGGGGGGGGGGGTTGCCACCCCGCCCAGGTAGTCTTTCTGCTCTGCACTCAACATTTTTAGAGCTAGGAGGCTGATTTTTCGTATAACTGCTCTTCTATCCTTTGTTGTCCACTGAAAATTTCAAGTTTCTGTGGTTTTTGGTTTCGGAGATATGACCTTGTTTTTCAGGTCATGTCATGACCCAAATGGCCAATTCTCAACATCTGGCGTTGGCTATTGGCCTTGTGAGCTTTTGACACCTTGATTTCGGCCTTTTTTGCCAGTCTTACCTCCCACCTATCATGGAGCATGTTGTTCGACGATGTACAGATGTCAAGGTCAAGGTCAAGGTCAACCTAGGTCATCTAAGATAATTGCGTTTTGGGCAAGCGAAATTTACTTTTTGTGAAGTTTTTTGACTGCATTTTTGGTAAAAGCTTCCCAGATCATGATTTCATGTGATATGGACACATAAACAATCGGTGCACACATCAGTATGCACACAGACACACACAGACATACAAACACATATAATTGACCTTGACCTAACTTGACCTGAAATGACCTCAGCAGCAAAAACCTGGTCGGGTAGTGTGACAAAGAGGTTCTAGCTGGCTTGGCACCAGAAAACGGCATCGTCATCGGTATATGATAAGCAGCGCACTTGATATCCAACGGTGGCCCAAAACAGCAACATTTTTTAGTTTGACCTGACCTGGAAGGTCAATGACTGACCTGAGAAGGTAAAACTGTGTATCATTGGATTCGTCTCTTTCCAAAGAATCTTTTTGGTCTCTACCGCTAAGCTCTATCTCCAACAGGAACGAAATGGCGTGGGGGGGGGTGGCAACCCCCCCCCCATGTGCGTTCTAGGATGGGAAAATGGCATGTGCGGGCAAGGGTTAACTAGCGCCCCGTTGAGGTCTGTCAGGTTCCAGGTCCTCTTGGGGGGGGGGGGGGCAAACAGCCCCGTCGTATTTCCGGAAGGCGTAGTAGGATAGGAAAAATTGTACCGATTCACGGTGATAAACATCTTATTAAGTAAAAGTGACATTATCCACGTAGAAGAGGTGAGAACGTTCATATTTAGACAGGAAGAGATGAAAAATTATAATGAATTTTACACTAGACTAGCTCTTAGTGGGTACACATAAGAGATGTCAATCGGATACCAACTTTTTGGTATACCGATACCAAGCCGATACCAACTTGGTATTTGGTATTTCAAGGCTAATGCATTTGGTACTTTGTGCGTATTGTGAATCGTAGCTAATGTAAAAGAGGCTCTGAAATCGGTAAAAAGTTGGTATTTCTCTCAGTTTCTGAAGTTGGTTTGGTATTGGTATTTTCCTATGGATATTGTTGGTATTTGGTTTGGTATCGGTATCACCATTTTCTGTAACTGACATCACTAGTACACATGCTGAAAGTAATGTGACGCCAAAAGTACAGTCGCTGAATTGTATTCTTTGAAATGGTTATATCTCTAGCAGTTTTAGAGATATTGTGTTATTGTTTTTTTTAATGTGTGAACGCAATACAGTGTTCTCTTATTACCTTTAGTTACCGTTTTTATGTTCACAAAATTTAAAATAAGCACCTCTAAAGAAATATAAATGATAAGTTTGAAAAGCTAGAGATTTTGTGTTTCATATTTTGAAAATTTCGATATAGCAGTTTTGTTTGCCCTGCTTTTTTAAATTGTGAACGATTTTTATTTCTAGATAGATAATCTGATGTTCTGCGATTTCTTTCCGAGAGCAACTTTTTCGTGGTTAGGTTAAAGGTGCCTGTCAAGCAGCAGAGCTCGTTTTCGATACCCGGGATCAGGGACTGGCCACCGGGTACTAAGCTCAAGCCGGTGAACAACTGAACAGGGCATTCCACCCTTGCCCTGGTTAACCGGCATAAGCTTAGTCTGAACGTAACCACCTAGGCATGCTCCTCGTGAGGCCGGTGTCTCCCTATCTTGCCAACAATGCCGGGAGACTGTTTAGCTACTTTGCAACTACCTCCCCGCTGCAACTACCTACCTACAAATGCAACTGCAACTATCTACAAATCAGTATGGGTTCTGATATCTCCCCGCCACCTCAACCGCGCTGGTCGGGTTAAAATGCTCCTGAAAGGGTTGAATTGCCATCTGGCCAGCTCTTGAAAATGGGAAATGGGTATCCTATCAATTTTTAACAACTCTTCTGACCGTATGGTTCATCGCCGAGCCTTAACTTTTTTCAGTATCACAATTTATTGAGCACATTGAAACACAGCAGAATGAAACAAAACACCACAACAGTATGCACGTACATTAATTTTCCCACTCTCAACACAGGCCCACTATTACCATTCTCCAGTCCCCCTTCCCACACTCCACGACCGCATGAATACCTCAAAGCATGCCCCACTACGGGCATCGTGCCGTGCGGCCCGTCTGGCGAAGCCGAGCCGGGGCGGCACACGGCGATTGCCGCTCCGGCCCCGGGGAGATCAGTATTGCTTACCTCCGAGCCGGGGAGGCTGTAAGCCACCCCGGCGCTCCAGACTTCATCCTATGTATGTGCAAAATGCACCACGCACTGAAATTTCGAGGGCTACTAGTCGCATCTCAGGACTCACATGCAGAGTGGCATCAAATATCTTCCACACATATAGCAGTGTCAGGCGTCAGCTTCCATTCGATACGCTTTGGTGCCATTCTCCTAAAAGAATCCAACCACATTGGCAGGCATTTCGTTGGAAACAAAGCCAAGTCAATAACGATGTGATATTGACGGACGTGGTTCTGCCATCATCATTAACCCGCGCCCTGCTGGGGGGGGGTGTTTGAACACCCCCCCCCCTTGTGGTTTTTCGCGAATATCTCAAAAACGGCGGCGCGGAGCGCCGCCGTTTTTGGTACACCTTATCATGCATCAATTCTACACATGTTGTGAAAATTTCAGCCCAAGGTCATTCAAGGTCAGGTCACCAGGTCACTTGAAGTGACCTCACCTCATAAAAAGTTTCAATGTCTGTCATAGCTACACCGAGTGACCGATCGCTTTGAAACTTTCAGCGATTGCTAAGAGCAATAGCATGTACAAAATGTATATCTCAGAATTTTGATATCGATGACCTAAGGTCAGGTCAATTTTGCGACCTCCCCATTATAAGTCAATGGGAGAAAATTGAAATGCGCCTCTTTTGGACGAAAGACACTATAAACACTCCCAAACACAGAATTACAAGTGGTTTAGACACACTGAACATGAAAATGGTGTCCGTGACCCCTGTTTATGCCCTGAGGTCATCTTAGGTCACGAATGGTATCTAACAGTTTTTCGCAAATAACTTTTGATAAAGGCATGCTAGAGCGCTGAAAACGCCTTAGATGTGTTCAGCTCGACGATACGGATCGACTGATATGCAACATGACCCTTTCCGGTCAGGTCATGACCTTGACCTGAGGTCAAATTTTCAAGTTGACCTTTCTTTCAAGGTCAAGTTATAGGTCATTCGATGCGTCTTGACGAGAGGAACACGATGCCGGTAAAAGTAAGCTCGTACAAGGCTTGGGTCAAAAGTTATTGCAGAAAACTGTTTCCGAAAAAATCGGCTATTTTTGCAGTTTTTGCCCCCTGCAGGCAAAACCGTTGACGTTAGGTCAAATCTGAGGGAATTGCTCAGAAAGGGCGTTAATAGGGCTATCGAATGCGCTTTTCCGCGGCGCTGTAGCTCTATTGGTTCCCGAGTTATGCGTTGGCTTCTTGGAAATTGTCGACATTCGACCTGGAAATCGGCGAAATTTCGCCTTCAATGACCTCTGGTGACCTAACCTTTGACCTGACCAAAAAATCGACCGAAGTGATTTCGTCATTATTTTTGACGCTCTTTCGAACGCCGCCTTCCGCGTATCGCTACGTGGCCCAGGAGCCGAGTTAGAAGGGGGGGTGTTCAAACACCCCCCCCCCCCCCCAGCAGGGCGTGGAAATCCAGGACCCCCAGCAGGGCGCGGGTTAATAAGATTAACCGTCGTATGACGTCTCCCGCACAGCTATAAGCGGACCTTCGCCAATAAAAAGCGGACCTTCGCTTTAATTTTGTTGGCTGTAGAACTGAAAGAAGCTGACCTATCAATGCTAGCAGCGCTGGGATAATGAGCTACTCGCGGCAGGTCTGAAACAGTCTAATCCGCCTGCGTCAGAAAGCTGAGCCAATTTGGCCGCTGGATCGTCAGATACACCAGAGAATGGGGCGCAGCTGGGCTTGCGGAAAGATGCTAGCTAGCGAGCTTTCATTAATTCGGCAGTTTTTAAAGATATTTGTAGTTATGTTGCTTAAAGGGTATAACACGATCAGGGCCTCCGAGAATTGAAACCAAATATTGATCAATAATTGGGTGGAATTTTCGGTACCGCTGTTCGGTGTCTTCCAGGTGGCCCTAAACCCTATACATCACACCATGGTGGAATCAAAATCCAGGAACAATTATATTTATGCATGGTAATTTCTTAGCTATATTTGGGATATTCTATGAGTTGTTGGTTATAATATCATAAACATCATATAATATAATATATCATATCATATCATATCATAAATAAGGGAATATCACCTCGACATTTCGACATCCTAGCTCTCCAGCCACCGCGCCTCACCTGGTGAACATGATAATGCCGACAGCGGCGGGATCCGACTCGAGGGCGTTCCAGGTCTGTCGGAGGCGCACCTTGTCCTCTGCGGTGAGCGGCTCCGGCACGACCAGCTGGTTCTCGGGAAGGTCCTCGGCGTCATCACGCCAGTCGTCGGCGTCATCGGCGTCATCGGCCGGCCGCCGGCAGCCGCGCACCAGGCTGCTCCCCATATCGGAACGGCCGTCCGTGCCGCAGGGAGGCTGCTCCACCAAGGCGCGCGCTGGACGTGTTACAGGGTTACGGTACTTCCAAGTGAGCTGTCCTTAACCCTATTCCTGGCGGGGGGGGGCCTCAGGAGCCCCCCCCCTGAGGTTTTTTGGTTATATCTCCCAAACACGTTGAGCTAGGAAGCTCAAATTTTCTGACTTTTCTTAAAAGGCTTCTACGCAACATGTCTGAAAATTTTGAGTTGATCTGACCTCAGGTCAGGTCACCAGAGGCGGTTTGGTGACGCTACCTCAGAAAAGTTTGCAATCACGCCAGAGCTAGAGTTTTTGACCGATCAATTTCTTCTCTTCAGGGTTTAGTAAGGGTACCAGTATGTGCAATTTGTATATCTCGGAATTTTGATATCGGTGACCTAAGGTCAGGTCAATTTCGCGACCTCCCCATTATAAGTCAATGGGGGAAAATCAACTCCCTGTTTTTACCACTAAAACGGGTCGGAATGGCCCCATATACGATACATGACTTCATATACGATCAACCTTCACTACCTTGAGGTCTGTTTTGCTGTTGGGCAGCTGTGAGGTCATGTGACGTCATCAAAGGTCACCAAAGGTTTTTGGCCAATAACTCCGTACAGGAACAAGATACAGACGCGTGGATGGTCTCATTGTGTTCAGCTCGTCAAGACGCATCGAATGATATACATGATGACCTCGAGGTCACGTGACCTGAGGTCAACCTTTGACCTTGACCTTTCGAGGTCAACATATATATCATTCGATGCGGATTGACGAGAGGATCACGATGATGCCCTTAGTTTGTTCCTATTTTGACTAATTCGAAAGTTATTCGAGAAAAACTCTCTCCATATCTAGTGCCGCCATTTTGACTTTTTCGACCCCTGTGACGTCATCTTTGACCTGACCTGAAAATGACCTTAGTAAAAATTGTAGATCTTGGCCGTGCGTATCCGATGCCGTTTACCGCTTGTCGCTATCTTGCTTCGTTCTCGAGATCTCAGGGGGGGGCCGAATCGGCCCCCCCCCCCCCGCCAGTTTCTTGTCCCGGCGGAGCCCGCCAGGAATAGGGTTAAAATGTCTTACGTCCTGGTAAAGAAGGGTAGGATTTAGCTGTAGGACTATCTGCTCTGCCAAGTAAATAAAAGCTGGACGATGCCTTTTCCACGTCAATATGCTTTTCAAATGTCAGCAAATTTCGATTCTTCGTCAGGTTTCGGCTCACCTCAATCAGACACCTCACCTATAATTGATATCCACAAGAGTGTCTTGACACCGGCAGCGCGAGCAGCACTCACCGCGTACCCTCTTGACCCACAAGCGTTCCCTCTCGACGCCCCACGTGTCTTTCTCGGCGCCTCACGTGTCCTTCTCGACCGCCACCGCCGTACCGCGTCCTTCTCACCGACGAGCTCGGAAGCACTCTGACGATCGAGTCTTCCACCGAGCGTTCATCGTTTTCCCCCTCCTCTCCCCGCTGCGCAGCGCCGACCACTCCACCTCTCTCTCTCCTCTCCCAGTCAGTCCCCCGTCTCTCTGGTTTGCGGTAGGTCGATCAGTGGAGGGATTTGATACATCAGTCGCGACACTCGCCTGCCGAGCTGGGACGGAAGAGAGAGAGAGAGAGAGAGAGAGAGAGAGAGAGAGAGAGAGAGAGAGAGAGAGAGAGAGAGAGAGAGAGAGAGAGAGAAAGAGAGAAAGAGAGAAAGAGAGAAAGAGAGAAAGAGAGAAAGAGAGAAAGAGAGAAAGAGAGAAAGAGAGAAAGAGAGAAAGAGAGAAAGAGAGAAAGAGAGAAAGAGAGAAAGAGAGAAAGAGAGAAAGAGAGAAAGAGAGAAAGAGAGAAAGAGAGAAAGAGAGAGAGAGAGAGAGAGAGAGAGAGACAGAGAGAGAGAGAGAGAGACAGAGAGACAGAGAGACAAAAAGAGAGAACACAGACAGGGAAGGGTGAGTCGTTGTAAGGTATTTATCCGGCATAAGCCCGGCTTTCTAGGACAAAGTTGCTGTTTTACTTGAGGATTGTAACAAGAGATTACGTAAAAGTTAAATGACAGTCTGAATTCAATCATTCCAAAAGCACTGTTCCGGTCCACATATACATTTTCATACGGACTACACTGTAAAAAATGTTTACTAACTTCCTAGTCATCCGGCCACTTTTCACTAACAAAATGCGAGTAGACTTCACACACAATATGTGTGCAAGTGTGTTTCCAGACACACGTAAAATGGAACTGGCGTGTTATGAAACACACTAGGTTGTTTCAGACATTTTGTAAGCCTACTAAGATAAGGTTTGTAAACTTGTTCGATTACTAGCTTTTGGCGTGTGAAATGACATCAAAGTTAGTCATCCGGCCACTTTTCACTAGTAAAAGGCGTGTGAAATTAAAGCCGCATTTTACGTGTATGCGTGTAAATATGCAAACATCCTTGCTTCTTATGCCTACATCTTATAATAAAACACACAGACGAGTATTTAAACACAAAGATGTTTATTCAAACAACGTTACTACATATTGTTATAAGACTAGTGCAGCAATACAGAAATACGGTAGTCTGATATTTCTCATCATTGATTATAGCGTCTGTCTTAATAAGTGTGTAAGAGAAACACTCTGCTTCTCTGAGGTATATTGTATGTACAAGCAGTTCAGCTCATGCTCTCAGTGTCATACTGCCGCGAGCCCCAGCTTGACAGTTTGGTAGCCGTGTCAGCGGAGTCTACAGGAAATGACTCATTGATTTCCTCGCACCAACCCCCCTCAAATCGCACCGCCGTCCGACTCTGATGTTGAACACATCCGATCCCAAGTCCGTCTCCTCCCATTTCCCATCCCATCAGCCGCACTGGTGAAATAGTGATTACCAACGGCTTCCGCCCCATACGGTATGGCGTGTATTTACACATGAGTCGACCGACATCCCATGGTCACTCTAATGCAATAGCTGAACCACTTACCGATTGAATAACTGAATATATTAATGAAACTATTTATGAAACCAACCATGATACCCAGCAAAGTCATTTATTGAACACGTCGGCCGCAGGAAAAGTGCGAGCCGCGTTTCGCCCGCCGTGGCCGTCTCAGGGCCGGATGTCGAGGTGGCCTCGGCGATTAGGTGCGTCGCCAGGACCGGCCGATCTCACTTTGGAGGGGTCCTCGGGAGCTTCTATTTATTACCTGGGAGACGGGGGCGGAGTTGGGTTCAGCCCAGGTGCCCCTCGCCCCTGCTCGTAGTAACGGGAAGGAAGGGCTCCCAGCTCTTTTGAAGATATTTTCATTATGTCCAGTGTAGGCCCTTCAAGGGGCTCCATAAAAAGACCGTGCTCAGCTACTTGCTAAATTGACAATGGTCAACACAAGCAGAGCGACCTAACGACTAAACCAGGAACTTTTCCAAGTCGGCCTTAATGGCCGCATAGGTACATACATGGACGAGGAGGAGGAGCAGAGGTCTCTCCTGTAATTGGGAAATATATGCCCGTTGGAGAGAGGTCCGAAAAAATCTAACCCCGCGTTCGATGTCTCCCGGACGGCGAAGATTCTACGTCGTCCGGTCAATCACGTTCCACAACCGCAGCCGAGCCCCCGCTGACTTTAAACGGGATTGGCCGGACGACGTAGAATCTTCGTCGTCCGAGAGACATTGAAAGCGGGGTAAGTCACTCAAGGCAAGAGCTGCCAGCGCTGATCATGGGCGCACCCTTCGCTGCATCAAACGCTCCGACTCACTCCTTCTCAACCTACGGGTAAGTATATAATTATACATGGCGTCATTGACAATAAAGAGTGTTGATGGCACCGATCCAAGCGCGGGTAGTTCAGTCCAGCACAAGACTTCCTACGATTAGTTTGAGCGGATTGTGCCCAGTGACCTCGCGAGATGGAATGCACGCTGGTCAGGCAACTCCCTACAGAAATTCTGGAGGATATCTTCAGCCTGCTGGACGTCGAAGATGTTCCCAACATCGCTTCGTCCTGCCGGAGATTCCGCGACATCTTGGCAACGTCCAACAAGATATGGAGGGCGATGTTTGAGGGGCACCATTCCAATTTTGTTCTTTTTTTTTAACAATTTGTTCGTCCTCAAAATCACCCCGGAGGACGTCACGTAGTAATGTAAGTCGCCAACACGGAGTTATCTCAGCACTATGCCCTATCTAATGACCTGACCTTCAATAATATCGCGAATATGAATTGTCGTGGAAGTGCGTCATCTACCTGTGCAAAACAACGACAGATTCGGCGTACATAATGCCAACTATTGATTAAATGAAACCAATCAGTAAGAAACGCTTCGTTCACACTTGTTGCCAATTACGGAATTTGTCTCTCCGGCAGGTTCTTTCGGCTGGCGCAGCCGTCCTGCCATCCCGAGATCAGGGCGCTGCTCTGCGGCATCAACTGGCGCACCCTCACCCAGTGTCGCCTGGGAGGGCCGGGCCGCACCTGAGGGTGTTTCTGGACCGCGTGGCTGGCCAGTTCCACCCCGTGCCCGGACTGCCCGACCAGGCGATGGAGGAGTTCAGAGGGAAAGGGTTTACCTAACGGTAATAATAAACCCGAAATGAGGCAGTCACCTTATGAAATCGCTATCAGATCCCTCATTGCTTTTACCGCTGTCATCAACCAGGAGGCATGAAGAACGCTAACTTGCCTTTCCCTTCTTCAGGAGTACCTGGACGAAGCCAATGTTTCGGAGGACGAGATGGCGGGTAACCGGCAGTTCATGGAGTCGCTGGTAAACTGCAGTGACAAGGTTTACCGATGTGTCGACAACACCTGAATGCTCCTGTGACGATAGGCGAGCTCTATTTGAAGTCAGTTGTAGGAATATCCCAAACTGATATGACAGACCAGTCCGACAAATAAACTAATGTTAGAATACCGCGACTCTTGCTTCCCGGTATCGCTACCAGAGTACGAAAAGTTGTCAACCCAAGGCATAGAAAGAGTTCTCGGAGGAAATGAAAAGCCCGGCCGCTCGGCGCCGCCGCTCCTATCAGAATCCCGACTCGGCGCTCCGCTCACCCCTCGCCGGGTCAGGTCACGTGACCCGTGGCCGCAGGCCAGCCGGTCCGGGTCACCGGCCAATCAACGGCCGCTGCAAGCACGCAGCCCACGCGGCCTCCGGTCAGGTAAAGCTCAGGCAGTAGTTGTCACCATGTAATAGTCACCAAAGTTTTTTGTTTTGCTAATAACTTTTTACAGGAACAAGATACAGCCGTGCAGCTGGTCTCAATGTGTTCAGCTCGTCAAGGCACATCGAATGATACAGATTACAGATGATGACCTTGAGGTCACGTGACCTTAGGTCAACATTTGACCTTGACCTTTCGAGGTCACCACACATATGATTTGTTGCGGATTGACGAGAGGATCACGATGGTGCCATTAGTTTGTTCCTAGCTGGGCTACTTCTAAAGCTATTCGAGAACAAAAAATATATTTATTTGTAGCTCCATGTATTTGGACTTTTTTACCCCTGTGACATTTTTGCCCTGATCTGAAAATGACCTAGGTAAAAATTTAGACCTTGTCCGTGCGTACTCCATGCCGTTTATCGCTTGTCGATATCTTGCTTCGTTCTCGAGATCTCGGGGGGGGGGGGTCGACCCTTGTCGGTTCTAAGTTGGCGCAGACCCCCGTCACGGCTTAACCCTCGCCCGCACATGCCATTTTCCCATCCTAGAACGTACATGAGGGGAAGAAGTGGTTGCCACCTAGCGCTGTGTGTGTGTGTATGTGTGTGTACTGATGTGTGGTTTGTGTGTCCCTATTACTCGAGATCATGAACTGAGAAGCTTTTACCAAAAATGCAGTCAATGAAACTTCAATAAAAGTAAATTAAGCTTGCCCAAAACGCAATATGTTTAGATGACCTAGGTTAACCTTGACCCTGACCTGACATCTGTAGCTCGTCGACCAACATGTTCCATGATAGTTGGGAGGTAAGACTGGCAAAAAAGCCGAAATCAAAGTGCCAAAGCTCACAAGACCCATAGCCCACGCAAGACATTGGGTATTGGTCATTTGGGTCATGCCTTGACCTGAAATACAAGGTCATATCTTCGGAATAAAACCACAGAATGAACCTGAAATTTTCAGTGTACGCTGAGAAACGATAAAAAAGCAGCTATAGAAAAATCCAGCTTCTAGCTTTAACAATGTTTAGTGGAGAGCAGAAAGAAATATCTGGGGGTTGGCACCCTCCATCCACCCCCCCCCCCCCCATGTGCCGGTGAGAGTTATGTGATTTTGCCACATTACGCCTTTTTTAATTACGTTACATCTTGCCGCTAATCACACGCTGCTTATTTCGTTACTTGACACCGTGTAGATTCCACCGCTGCTCTCGCCGTATACGGTCAGTCCACCAGGGAACGTCCTCAAATTACTAAGCGAACACCCACCCCGCCTCACCCCCAGATGGCCATTGACCAGGCCCACCCGTGCCTCGAGTCTGGCTCCTATTCAATTACGTCCACACGTTCAGTCGACGCTGGTCCCGTGCCCACCCCACGTGGCGCACCACGTGGTGTCCACGTGTAGGTGGCATGGCTCTGTGACACGGAGGGGGGGGGGGGGCATGAACACGTGCGTCATTACCTTACCCTCTGGAGTCGGCCAGCTACCGGACGGAGTTAATCCGTGCCTTTTGGAATAATAGCGCTGGGGTTCGGTGATTTGGGGAGAGTTCGTAGCAATTGATTCTCAGCGATGATCAGGGAGGCGCCGACCTGTCGCAAATCCCAACCAGGCTTAGTCTTAGGGGCAGCAGGAGATTGGCGATGCTGCCATCCCGCTGGTGGCCTGTCGCCAATATTGTGAGCGGTTTAATTGAAATTTCTGCCACCAGTCTGACCGCTAATTAGCAACCCTTCACCACGTGGTCACCCATCCACCCATCCGCGTCTTATCTATCTTATCTAGCGTCTTATCTATTACACCACCCCTCATTTCGAAAGGCGCCTACCATACCCGTCGACCAAACGCGCATACTGGCATGGCGGTGAGGGGAGGACACATTATCATGGACAAGCGGATAACGCTCACAGCCGAGCAAGGAATCTGGTTACCTACTCTTTTATTGGAGGTTACCAATCATACTCCTGCTGGAAGATCAAACATCGTGCACGCTATCAAAGCATTAACCCTCGCCCGCACATGCCATTTTCCCATCCTAGAACGCACATGGGGGGGGGGGGTGGTTGCCCCCCCCCCCGCGCCATTTCGTTCCTGTTGGAGATAGAGCTTAGCAGTAAAGACCAAAAAGATTCTTTGGGAAGAGACGAATCCAATGATACCCATTTTTACCTTCTCAGGTCAGTCATTGACCTTCCAGGTCAGGTCAAACTAAAAAATGTTGCTGTTTTGGGTCACCGTTGGATATCAAGTGCGCTGCTTATCAAATACCGATGACGATGCTGTTTTCTGGTGCCAAGCCAGCTAGAACCTCTTTGTCACACTATCCGACCAGAATTTTGCTGCTGAGGTCATTTCAGGTCAAGTTAGGTCAAGGTCAATTATATGTGTTTGTATGTCTGTGTGTGTCTGTGTGTATACTGATGTGTGCACCGATTGTTTTTGGGTCCATATCACATGAAATCATGATCTGAGAAGCTTTTACCAAAAATTCAGTCAAAAAACTTCACAAAAAGTAAATTCAGCTTGCCTAAAACGCAATTATCTTAGATGACCTAGGTTTTTTTTTTATAAATTTAGCTCGAATGTTTGAATGGACGGATTGACAGAGCCGGAGTCCACGCTAAGCAGAGCTTGTTGCGTAGACCCCGACCCCTACCGTCCGATCGCGCAATTCCGGGTAACGGGAGAATTTAGATGCCAAAGTTTAACGTGCCCTTCAAAGCCGGACACGGCCTGTCCCACTCAACTGACTTCAACTGGCTGCGGCTGCTCCCACCAACCGCAGACCATCCCCGTCAGGAGTCTCATATATCGAGCGCCGGAGCGTCTCGAACCCGGGCTCTCACTACCGGGAGTCCGATGCTCTACCAACTGAGCTACGGGACAGGTTGACCTTGACCCTGACCTTGACCCCTGTACATCGTCGAACAACATGTTCCATGATAGGTGGGAGGTAAGACTGGCAAAAAAGGCCGAAATCAGGGTGTCAAAAGCTCACAAGGCCCATGGCAAACGCAAGATATTGAGAATTTGCCATTTGGGTCATGACATGACCTGAAAAACAAGGTCATATCTCCGAAACCAAAAATCACAGAAACTTGAAATTTTCAGTGGACATCAAGAAAGGATAGACGAGCAGCTATACAAAAAAATCAGCCTTCTAGCTCTAAAAATGTTGAGTGCAGAGCAGAAAGACTGCCTGGGGGGTGGCAACCACCCCCCCCCCCCCCATGTGCGGGCGAGGGTTAAACAACTCGAGTTTGTGTAGCTCAACGATACGGATCTACTAAAAGGTAGCATTGATTTTTTTCCGGTTAGGGCCTGACGGTGCCATGAGGTCAATTTGTCAAGTTTACTTTTTAGCTCAAATTTCGGTTCATTTGACGCCTATCGAGAAGAAAAATCGCATTAGAATAAATGACGCAAAGGCTTTGTGTCTGAAGTGTTTGCTAAACACACTTTACATAACTGCGTCTTTTTTTGTGTGCTTACACTCTGGAGACCCAGCCTTTGACCTTAGCTCAAATCTGATAACGCAGTTACGAAAGAGCATAAGGTTGTAATGGATTTTGCAGCTTGCAGTCCATGCAGTTATATGAACTAGTTGTGCAGCCGATTTGCAACTTGCAAGTTAGATTTATGTAATTGTAACATTTGCACTTTTTCAGCAATTTACGAAAGCAGAGAAGAATCCGATCCCACAGGCACCGCTATCCGTGACCAGAAATAGAATCCCTCGCCACCGCCCGACCGCGCGGCCGGCCCAGCCCAGGGACAGGATCTCTGGCCGCCGCCCGATCACGTGACCGACCCTGCCCCGGGGCGAGGTCAGCTGACACAGGACGGCCCGGTGGACCCTCCCACTGCACTGGTAGCTCAGATCCGTTCAGGACGCACGGCCGGCTGGCTGCCCGTCTTTGTTAGAGCGCAGGTTTTAAATCAGTTTCTGTCAGTCCGTCAGTTCATACCAACTATCTGTTACTGTATTATGTATTGGGTTTCGCATTCATTCCTGTATTATTTAGTTTTCTTCTAGCAGCTTATCAGCGTCGGTTTCATATAGGTACTGAGCGGTCTCATCCACTGGTTAGACCACTCGTTTCTTCGAGAACGGCTGTACTAGTGTCAGATCGTGTGAATAATGTAGAGAAGCAATTTCAAAGCTAAGCTAAAAAGCTCTTCAAGATAGTTCGCCGTGCCCGCCAGTAAGAGTCTCTCGTACCCAGATAGTGTTGCTTTCCACCCCCCCCCCCACAAAAAAACTAGCCGTCCACCAGCGGAAGAAACCCTCAAGAGCGAGAAAGGTGGATCATGACAATAAGTAGGTATATTGCACAGCGTGCAATGCAGATCACGACACAAGAGTATTCGACAATAACAAAGGGCTATAATTACAATATTCCAGGTTCAACGTCTTCAAACAGGCACCCCGTGGCATCAACAGCGTCACAGTTATAATCAGCATTGCAACATATTACAAGATAATCACAACACATCGTAAGTCTTATCAAGTTTGAAAAAAAAAACACGAGAATTGGTAGAAAGCAGTAGCATAGGTATAACATCATATCACAGTTCATTCTAAAACAGCTAGACACAATATAACGTAACTAAACTAAAAAATATGTACAAATAGGTATATTACAACATCGCATATTCAGGTCAGGTGATAGGTTCTGCCCACATTGGTCTCGGGCCACCTTCGTCAGGGCCGGGCGACCTCAGACGGAGCCGGCACCCTCTTCCCCCGCCCCCTCCGGCACGTCCCCTCTCCCGAGGAAGGGCCAGTCTCCGAGCCAGGCGGTGGGCGGCCTGTCCTCCCCAGCCTCCCGACCGGTGTGGGGCTCCTGAGGGACCGAGCCGTCCACCAGACGAGGCTCCCGGCCGACTGCCGAGGGGGGCTTGCTGGTCAGGCGCAGGTGCGGCAGGGGCTGGTAGTGTCCGTGGTGGAAGTGGGAGAAGTAGCGTCCCAGCTCCAGGTGGCGGACGGGACGGGGACGCTCCGCCAGCACCAGGTCCTCTGAAGCAGAGAACAGAGATAGTTAGGGAGGTGTACCGAAGAATTTGGTTGGGCGTGATGACACACAAACACTGCTGATATATCACAGCTTCTTTGGCAGGCTAGCTCCTTTGCTTTTTCAAATATGATCCCGAGACGACGTTATGCTATTTCAGATATTGTTCTATCGCTAGGGAGAAAAAGGGAAGTGGCGCAGCATTTACTACCACGCTATGCTGTAAATTACTGCAGCGCAGTCTGCAGAGATGCTCTTACCCTCCCTGACGCGGAGAGCGCAGTGTTCGCCGTCCAGGAGCAGGTCGTACCACGCGGTGGGCTCGTTGTCCGTCACCTGACGGGGAGACAACGCCGCAGGGTCAGCATTCAGCAACGTTTGGGCTGATGTGTTCAGTTATCAGGCACAGAAGCAAAATCTGTTTAGTTTGGTGAACTAGCCAACATCATTATTGAATGTTGTAAGGAGACAACATTACAAATTAAAAAAAAAAAACTATCTAAGGGCCATGCATGAAAGGTAGCGCGTACTCGCCAAAGCTGACCTTTGAAGAGAGCACGGCGTAGATGACGCCCATCACCCCGCTGTCAGCCACGAAGGTGACGACGTCGCCGATTTCCAGCAATGGGTCGTAGTAGCCGTAGGACTCGATGCCCACGAGAGCCGCCTGTGAAATGGAAAAATCAATCTTCAAAGCCGGCATTTCAAACAAAAACGATAAACCGAAAAGGCCGTACCACCGTTGCCCAATATCCCATCTTGAGCTACGTTTCGGCATCAAATTTTGTAGTTTTTCAAGAGCGTAAACCGACACGACGGCAATGAATCTCCGGCACCAGCTCGTTTTAACTGAACTCACCGTGCGTCTCAGGTACGCCTCGTTGGTGTTGAGCCACCGGTGAACCTCGGTACTGCGGCTCACCAGGGACGCCATAAACTGGCGGATACCCGCCGCCTCGTCCTCGGACACATTAGCCGCGTCCAGGTACTCCTGAAGAAGGAGAAAATAAACTCATAACTGCTGATTGAGGATTATGATGACGGTTTGGGGTTTTAGGGCGCCCAGACTGCGGTGGTTCATTATTTCATTACGTCCATTACTGCGGTTTGAAGTGACCATATTTACAAATTTCAGAAGAAAAGTATGCTATCTGTACCTTTGTGCTTGTTAGCACTTCGGTTAGGAGATGTGCAACATCACTTGAACACATAGAACCCGTGACACCTATTGCTGGCACCCCGTTCCGGTTGGCTGACCTGACAGAGGCGGCGGGTGTAGGCCCGTCTTGCGGCCTGCAGCTGGCCGCAGACGCTGCGCAGCTGCAGCCGTCCCGGATGGCAGCCGTCCATGGTCCGGTAGAGCAGCAGCTGGTTGGCCTGGTGGTCGGCCTCCGTCTCCGCGCGGACGCTCCGCTTCCACTGGTAGCCGCCGGCAGACAGGTAGTGCAGAAGCTGAGGACAGAAACAGGGGCGCGGTTAGCAGCAGCGGGACACTGATGAAAAGTTATATATGATGATTCTCACAATGGCAACTTCAGTTTGATTTAGGCTTCATGCTTCAAGTGATGGGCGCTAAGGGCACTACTCACCAGGCCAGGCGTCATGGGCTCGAGGAGGATCCTGTGGAAGGCCTCCCCGCAGACCTCCTGGACCTCCTCCACGGCGGTCTCCAGGTTCAGTTGGACGCCACCGCGGGCCACGTCGATGAAGATGACGTCTTCTTCGCTGGTGAGGCAGGAAAAGACATCGATTGAATTCACCACGATACAATATTGCTGCCAAAAGCTTTACATTCAAATTCGTAACAATACACAGTTCAACAGCAAACAAGTTCATCCAAACGTAAGGAATCTAGAATCAGCAAAACAATTTCCCACTCTAGACGCATCAGTTTTCCCGATAGTCGGTACTCACACTGGCTGCCAGCGGACCAGCCACGGATCCATCATCCTGAGGTGCTGGATCAGCACCCCGAGACGTCCGGCGACGGCGGCATACAGCGCCGTCATGACGCCCTGCAGGCCGCCTCCCCACGTGACGATGTCGCGGTGCGCCACGCGCAGCTGTTGAGAGAAAATAAAGTTGACCGATCAGCTCAAATTGAAGTTCAACAGACGATGAAGACGAAGATCACACATGTGCAGTGCTTTCGTGGGCCGCAACGACAAACAATGTCGGCAGCATTTTTTTTTCAACATTTTGTAGTTGTAAATTTGTACTCGTAGCACATCGGCAACTTATCGATAGGCTTATAGCTCAAGCTTCAACGGATTATTTTATGTTATTTACGGTCGCGTGCAGCTCCCGATCCTCCGGCCTGTCCTGGTCTTCCGGCCCGTCCTGCTTCAGCAGCCGGAGCCGATCGTAGAGCGTGTAGTTCACGCAGTCGAAGACCTGCTGGGACAGCAGGTCGGACCACAGGGTGTCCACCAGGGGCTCGGAGCGGGTCTCGGTCCAGGCAGACGCTGGGTGGTCCGGGTAACACCGCCTCAGCTCCTGGAGAGCAATCTCAGCCACCCGAGTCGCGTACCTGGACAATCAACGGAGAGTCAGTTAGGAATGCAGGAGGATTGCTGGCGAAGTCAGAATCTGGTGGACTTTATTACTCTTTGGTTTCGAGGCAGTCACATCTTTTACAAAAAAGTAACAGTTGTAGTTTCCGGCTATCCACACGTAAAAATGTTTATCGCTTGAGTTTATTCCCGAAAGCGATTGATGAATAAGGTACCTTAGTCACCACATTCGCTGAACAGACTCCCTTACCTCTGCACGTCGGAGGCCGGTCGTGGCCCGACCTCGGGGAACCGCCACATGGCCAGCAGGCGGTAGGCCTCGCCGACCTCCTGCTGTTCGGGAGGCAGCTCCATGAACCTCCGCATCAGCGGCACCAGCACCGAGTCCCGCTGCACCTCACGGTACAGCATGGTGGCGTAGTAGCCACGCGAGAGTCCGTTCCTGGCAAGGGCATGTCATATTGTCACATTCGAGTTGTGAAATTCTTAGATTCCACTTCCTGGAGATGTCATGTTGAGCATCACATTGAGTTAATATCTCGACAATTTTTTGTAATATTTGGTATAACATAGCAAGTTACGAGAACAAATAACCAGAAAGTAATGGAAAGTTACTCTCACAGAACAAGTACACAGAGTACACTCAGCTATCAGCCAAATGATGTCCTTTGAATTAAAAAAGAATAAAAAGACCCCTTAGTCACCTCACCTCCGTGTAGGCCGTGGATGGAAGATTTCATCCAGGAGGGCGTCCCTCATGACGAGGGAGCCGTGAGCCGAGGCGATCCCACGGAACTCCTCCATGGTCTGGTCGGGCAGTCCGGGCACGGGATGGAATTGGCCAGCCACGCGATCCAGGAACACCCTCAGGTGCTGCCCGGCCCCAAGCCGACACTGGGTGAGGGTGCGGCAGTTGATGCCGCAGAGCAGCGCCTTGACCACGGGACAGCAGGACGGCTGTATCAGGCGAGGAAACCTGCCGGAAAGGGATCAATTTCGTTAGAAATTAAATTACACAATAATTTCAACTGAAACGGTTTACGGTAACGAGATGATTTATATTACCACTTACCTCGATTGCTATCATACTTTATAGGGATTGATTACCTATTCGTTATCGCATTTTACTCTCTCACTCGATAACGTTATAAGAGCGCTCTTCACCAGAGCCAATAAATCACTCTGCTGTTCTTCGTATTTCATGCTGCTGCTGAAGCCAGCTCAATGCGATTTTTAGTTTGTATGACCACTTGAGCCGAAACTTAAACTTACCTCCTCTCAAACATCGCCCTCCATATCTTGTTGGAAGACGCCATGATGTCCCTAAATCTCCGGCACGACGAAGCGATGTCAGGAACATCTTCTATGTCCAGAAGACAAAATATGTCTTCCAGGATCTCCGTAGGGATCTGCCTGACCGGCATGCACTCCATATCGCGATGTCAGTGGGCTCAATCCGCTCCAACTAACCGTATTCGTAAGAAGTCTTGCGCCGTACTGAACTGCCCGCGCTTTGATTGGCGCCATCAACCCTCATTTCAGTGACTGCGGTGCCATCTATAGGCCCGGTTATGGAGATCTGAGCGCCCGGGACAGCCAATCACGCCCCAGCAGGGTTGAGGCCGCCAATAATGAACCTAGGCGAACGCTAAGCTCCGCCTCCTTGTCATCGAAGAGATGTGACGTCATTATACCCTGTTTGCTATCGATGTTACCGTGTCGAAGAAAGTTAGCCCGTTCATATTTTATCAATAAGACAGATTGACTGGATATATATGAAAACATTCTCCTTGTACCTAAAATATGTGACAATAAAGAATGAATAATGAGATGTAAATACCACTTTTCTGAATCTGCATTCTGTAAATGTCTAATGTAATATTGCAAGTCAGAAAAAAGACATCCAAAGAGACACATCGTTTTATCAGTCTTCTAAAGATGACTTTGCTTCTTTTTAACGTTTTCTTTTCATTGATTTTTGTTCTTTCAACAAATGACATTATCACCGAGAAGCCGGGCACAATTCTGGATTCGTATGAATATGTGTGTCATCAAGTTGCACAGCTTGTTTGCCGATGTTTCTCTCCGCACTTCTTTCAGATGCCGCTCGAGCGGGCTCAGAGTCAGGCTGGTAGTTAGGTAGGTCCCGCTCATTGAGACTTTCCTTCGCGAAAAGTGTTTTTCATACCATTTTTGACTGCGTTTTGAGATGTCCCTCGGCGCTTCAACTTGCAGAAAAGTACCCGCGACATTGAATGGCCGAGTTTTTTTCGTGCGTCGCCCATTGCCCGGGGACTTGACAGCTGCCATGAATTATCCTCAGAGGATTTCTGACTCGTATTTAGCCTTGTTGACCACCTTGTGCATGGATGCAGCGTGGAACCGAGTAAGACCCTATGCCGCGTTATTTCGCCCCCATATCATGATATCGAGAGGCTGTTGGCGAATTTATTTTCATGCGTCACGGTGTATACGTTACGCACTCATTGGGTAATCTTTTTTCTTCAAATTCAGTGACAATAGCTGATTAAGGTTTTCATTAAAACAAAAATATCGTCACCATCAAAACAGAGAAATTCGGTTAACTTGAAACTGATCTGCAACATTCCTCTGAGTAGCATCTACGTTCAGTTATAGAATAGCGCGTTGGCGTATATTATACGCATATTCCAGAATTGGAGGATCAAAAGCATGCGATAGCATGCTTTTGCATCCGGAAATTCCCATTGGTGGGTCGCTGAAAAAAAGTTCGGCTGAACCTGTTTGTCAGTGAGTGAGTATGTGAGTGAGTTTGTCCAAGCTTTTTTGGACCTGGAGTCAAAATGGGTGGACCGATCGGGACGAAAGTGGGACCGTTTGATTCGTCTCCGGCGAGGTAAACTTTTGGTGCTGGCCTCGGTTCGCTCGGTACTTCGTGGCACATGCTATTCCGCTTCAAAGTTTCGGTGACACGAATTTTTTTGTCAAGGCTACAGGTCAACCCGAGGTCACGGGCAAAACCATACTGGCGGGACACATCGGTAACACCTTGAACCAGTTTCCAGGGGGGTCACCGTCTGCGAGGGGTGCAGGCTGCACGTGCTGGGGTCGGAAAACCGTTTTGACGTGAGGTCCTCTGGCTCAAAGAAATTTTAAGCTATCAACCTCAAAATCGGTTCAATGGTAGTCCCAGGCAAGGCCTCCAAAATAATGCGCATTTCATTGGGCTATGGATCCTCCAATTCTGGCCCAAGGCAACGCACGAGCGCTGCCGGCATCTAGTTGTATGTAGTATGTACATTTTCAAGGCAGTCTTCAATCAGTCGTGGCTATTATTGCCCCAAGGCATAGGGTAATGGGTAAAATCATGCAGGTTGCACTTGCAGTCATCTCAATCATCGACACTATTACGATAAAGCAATGAAAACAATTACACACGCTCTGGCGCGAATATTCTTTGGCCGCGTGACATATTCACTATTCGGTGACCTGCATGTCTGCGACTGACCCATCTCGTTTGTGGCCGCCGCGCTGTGATTCTCCAAGCAACAGGGAGGGAGGGAGACTTTACAAATCGCCAACCGGACAAGTTTGTCTGCCAAGCCTCTGCCGTCGCTCGCGGCACAATGCCCTAGTAGCGAATAGGATGACGAGATAACACCCCAGCTATGATTGCTGCGGTCACAAGGTGTTGCTTATCGACATTATTGCCATCATACATATCATTATATGTGTTATTAACCCTCGCCGGCACGGGGGGGGGGTTGATGCAACCCCCCTAAGGTTTTTCACAAATAACTCGCGTAAAAAGCGGCCGATCGCGACGAAACTTTCAGTACCCTCGCATTTATCAATTTTACACCTACCCTGAAAATTTCATGACCCTGACCTAAATGACCTTTGACCTGTGACCTCTTTTCCGAGACCATGTTTGGCTGGAATCGCGATTCGGCGTACGTCGGCTCGCATTAGCCGCGCGTTTGCAAGCTTTTCGTGGTTTCAAACGTTCAAACATGTGAGTTGATGTTGCTCCCACACATAAGGGTGGGTGTCAAGGTCACCTGAAGGTCAGGTCAGGTCATTGACCTTTGGTGACCTCGGGTGACCTCGGTTCACTTTTTCGAGTTTTACATGTTTGTTTCTAGGCTAGTTTGTGGAGCTGAATTCGAATTTAGCAACCATTTGAACATTTACGAAGTAGTTTTGGTGCCTTCGTAACATGTTACGAAGCTGTCAGAGGCGGTTGACACGTATTACGAATACCCGTCACAAACCCTACCGGTTGACCTGACCTGACCTGACCCGACCTGGTCTAAATGCTTGAAGGCATCATCTCTGATCAAAACTAACACGATATTCGTGATCAGCACCCCGGAAAACCACATAGCAGCCACGCTTTACGACTTTCTAACAGGTCCCGATTTTCCCGGTTTTTGGGTCATTGACCTGACCTGGAAGGTCACCCAATGACCTAGGACCTTAAAATTGGATATCATCGGCTTCCTCTCGTGACGGGCAACACACTCTTTTTTCCGCGAAGCTCTAGCTCGATCAGGGGCCAAACGCAAGGGGGTCGTACCCCCCCCCCCCCATTGTGTCGTCGAAGGACGCAAAATGGCCTGTGCCGGCGAGGGTTAAGAGAAGCTTCCACCACTTTAAACTCGTATATCAATACTTCATTTTCGTTCCCTAAACTCTGGCTGGCCCTTTCTTTGTCTTCGATTGTACAGCAGGTAACATTCTCTGTACGAGTACCTACAAACGCAGGGCCTGATGAATGGACTGTGGAGTGTGGGTGGCCACTGACCACATGGTGAAGGGTGTCTAATTACCGACCAGACTGGCGCCTGAAACTTCAATCAAACCGCTCACAATGTTGGCGACACACCGCCAGCGGGGTACAAAAAGAAATGTGAGTCTTGCCATCAGAACCAGCCGCGCCTTTAGAGGATTTGGGAAAGGCTGACGCTGTGGTAATGAGGATCAGGTACCCAAACCAGGCGAGAGCCATTCCCATAATCCCGACTCATGGAGTGATGGCGATAGACGCAGGTCTGCTAATCTCTTCCTCCGTGCTTACTGACCATAGCCGTGTTTGGTAATTGACATTGCCATACCACCCACAGTCGTGGCGCCAGGCACGGGATTACCGCCGACCGACCGCTGGACACTATCAAAAAGCTGAAACGAGACCCCGAATGGGGCACGTCACTTGGCGTGGGGACGGTGGCATCGTGGTCACTAATTTAGAGACGCTCAGCTGGGCAGAGCGGCGACAACCGGTATTCTGAGCGCTATTGAAAATCGCTGCTGGCAAAGTGCAAGAGCTGATAAGATGTTTTTTTCATTACCTACCTCTTGATTGCCTTGTAAGCTTATTAGCAGCAAGGACATTTCCATACACGAGTACCACTGCCCACTTTGCTGGCAAAAATTCATCATTCCGTTTTCCGTATACTTTTCCAGCTTAGTTTATGATCCTTGTAAGGGACGGTTAATGTTGCATTTTAATCGCAAGAATATCAATCGTTTTCCTTTCATTCGTTTCATCGGAATGACAACAGAAAACAGGGATGCGGAAAAATATGTTTTTTTTTCTCCCGAGGCATAAAACACGTCATACCGTTACAGTCACGCTGCACAGACAGCTACACACGTGGTCGCCACGTGGGTAACTGCGAGCCTGGGACCACGCTACCGACCGTCTGATGACCGTCTGATGCCGATGGTGGCATTAGCGCACACCCCGGTGGTTAATTACTAAACCTGTCACAGCAAGGAAACCCAACTGACATCGAAACACTGGGGTCCGGAGCTGTGCGGAAGTCTCTCGGCACGTTTGGGTATGAGACGCCGAGTGACGCCAAATTATCAGCGGATTAACCCTACTAGTGGCAGGCTCCTGGCTACCCCTATTAGTGGCAGGGGGGCTGTTTACGACCCCCCCCCCCCTTGATATCTCGAGATCTAACCGGCCGATTTTCAAAATTCAAACGGCATTCGATTTCGCTCAACATGATCCACATTTCTAAAAAATAGAAATTAAAAATAATGTCAATAGGGGGGTAGAGGGGGTAAAAACAGGCAAATTGCAGATACATTTTAGACTGTTTATCACGGCCAGGTTTCTGAACCAATCTTAACCCAACTTTTGCCGATCGATAGAGAATGAACAAGGAATTCACATGGATCCTAAAAATATGCATTTTCAAAAATCATAGGCGGATACAGATCATTGAGATTGGGGGTACACAAAAAGTATAGTAAATAAGGTTTTTGTTGGTACTGTTTCTAAAAAGGGTGGCAATGGTCTTGTTATGTTACAATTTTCTTATGAGAGAACGACTACAATTGTATTGGTCATGCATAGGCGGTGTCAGGGCACCTATGTTGGGAGGTAAAGCATAACCCCCCTGTTTGAACGCCTGGATCCGCCTATTACAGCACAAACGTGTCAAAAAAGGATGCACAATAACTTTGTATATGTTATCACATGATACCTTTCATTCACTGTTCGTAAAACTGATGTATACAGTTATAATACATCAGCATCGTGATCTTCGCCCAAATGACTCGCTTCACGAATAGGACCCCCCAATTCCCAGTGCTCTGGAGCCACCCCTGGTAAAGTTATGAACTTGAAACTTCCAGGGAATGTGCCCAATTTAGTTTTAGGAAAAGTCAGAAAATTTCAGCATCGTAGCTTCAGCGGTTTCGGAGATATTCCCGAAAAACCTGAGGGGTGGATGAAAACAACCCCCCCCCCCTGCCACTAATAGGGTTAATTGAGTTTCCTGCTGTCAGTCCTGCTGGTTATCGTGCGACCACTCCGTGGCGCCCCTCGGTACCATTATCTATTCTTATCTTATCAATCGTCCTATCTTATCCAACCCCTAATTTCCATTGCCGAAGATTAGTCAAAGTCAGAGTTCAAAGGTGCCCTCCAGCTGGAAGGGTGCCAGGATCGTTATCAGGGGGCAGCTGGGCGTGGCCGGGCAGGAAACGGCTGTGCTGTGGTTATTCGATGGCCACGTGGTGAACATATACGTCAACTTATATGTAACCATACTATAAAGTCCTGCATAAGAGACACCTGAGTTCATTCACCTGTCTGTTGCTGAGTGTCGGATTAGTTTTCTATTAAAGTGCAACTTTGAACTTGCGAGCCGCGCGAGGCGCGAAGCAAACCTTTTCAATGTAAATGGAAAATATCACATAATATGCCACAGATGCTTTGTGTCAAAAGTCTCCGGCTATTGCTGAAAAAAAAATCCCATAAACATGTCAGTTTCGATGGGTACACCTTTTGGAAGCCTGGCCGTGGACCTTTGGTCAAAACTCAAATCGATAACGTAATTTCGAGAGTGCATGATAGATTCTACTTTTTTGGAAATTTTACCCCACACAACCATATAACCGAGTGTTCCCGCTGCCTAGCAAGTTATAATAATTTGTAACACTCGCTTTTTTCAGCAAGTTACGGAAGCAGACAAATTTGTGCACTGGCAGAGCTAACTGTCACCAGCAATAGAATCCCCCGATACCGCTCGACCGCGCGGCCGGCACCCAGCCCAGGGACGGGGTCGGGGTCGGGATCTCTGGCCGCCGCCCGATCACGTGACCGACCCTGCCCCGGGGCGAGGTCAGCTGACACAGGGCGGCCCGGTGGACCCTCACACTGGCAGCTCAGAGCCTTTCGGGACGCACGGCCGGCTGCCTGCCTTTGTTAGCGCGCAGGTCTCTGTCAGTCCGTCAGTTCATGCCGACTATCTTTTACTGTATTTTATCTTGGGTTTCACATTTATTCCTATATTATTTACTTTTCTTCTTGCGACTTTTCAGCGTTGCAGTTTCCTCTTGGCATCGACCGGTTTTATTCAACGGTTATACCTACCACTTGTTCCCTTGAGAACAGTTGCACCAGCGTCAATTTACGCAAATGACAACAAAATAATAATAAATAAATAAAAGCATGCTAGTTGGTCGTTTCTCTCCGTCCGCTTCTCTCTCGTTGTCAGGTATGGCATTTTTCGTCCCCAGTCCCTGTTTACTTCCCGAACAAAAAAAAAAACTCAAAGTTCAAGGGACTACGGGTAGGTATATTGCACAGTGCATGCCCATTGCACGTACCTATATTATACGTACCACATCTCATCACGAAAGCAATACAAAATTGCACACGTCTGCAAACACAATGACAGATTACTAGCATCCCAAACATGGCAAATAATGACAGCAACAGTGTCAAAACCGAAAGATGCAAAATTTCGCCATATTACCTGATGAGCACAATGAATGGCAACGAGAATAAAAATTTGCATTAGTATTAAAACAGCAACACAGCATATCACACTTGCTTCACAAACAGTTCGACACAATATAACGCTACTACACTCAAAATATGTACAGATTATTTACAACAGAACGTCAGGGTCAGAGACAGAGACCATGACCCTGCCAACGAGAGCACCTTCGTCAGGGCCGGGCGACCTCAGACGGAGCCGGCGCCCTCTTCCCCCGCCCCCTCCGGCACATCCCCTCTCCCGAGGAAGGGCCAGTCTCCGAGCCAGGCGGTGGGCGGCCTGTCCTCCCCAGCCTCCCGACCGGTGTGGGGCTCCTGAGGGACCGAGCCGTCCACCAGACGAGGCTCCCGGCCGACGGCCGAGGGGGGCTTGCTGGTCAGGCGCAGGTGCGGCAGGGGCTGGTAGCGTCCGTGGTGGAAGTGGGAGAAGTAGCGTCCCAGCTCCAGGTGGCGGACGGGACGGGGACGCTCCGCCAGCACTAGGTCCTCTGAAGCAGAGAACAGAGAGGGATAGTTAGGGAGGTGTACCGAAGAATTTGGTTGGGCGTGATGACACACAAACACTGCTGATACACTGTAAAAAATCTTACAAGCCCCTTGTAGGAAAACCGCTGGCGCAAAAATGAGCATGCAGCGACGTGTAAAAATCGCCTCATATTTAGCTAGTAAGAGGGTACAAGCTTGTTTCGTTAGTAAATGACAAGCCCACGCCTCATAAACCGAGCATCCCCGTGTCAGCCCCTCGTTTCGTTATTCGGTACCTCGTTTGAAAACGAGGGCAAAACCAGCAGATCGGTACGCCGATTATGGCTCCTTAGCAGGACTCGCCTGGTAACCCAACCAGCTAGCGCCTGCTATTGCTGCCCAGTAGTAATACTAGCTCAATTGCGTCACCCCCCCCCCCCCCCTCCTTCTCCCCAGCCGCCCCTCCGACTGGTGGACGACCCGGCCAACGACAGCCACGCCACGTTACAAAAAAAAAAATACACAAAAATAACGTTTATTAATTATTAGCATACGATACAAAATATCTAAATATATACATATTACAATATCATAGCGGAGTGGTGCAAAAGCTGATTCGAGTCACCACCAATAACATTCACAAAATAATACGGTTGCATGAGACGAGACACGATCGGGCACTTCCACGGGCTCTGACGCAACGGCACTGACAACAGGCGAGTGAGCAAGTTGATCCTGCCATGTCAGGTACATTGTGCACTGTGCAGTCCATCAAATATTTGCCATACTTTGCAGATTCAAGCAAGTTTTTTTTTTCTGGGCGAGGCTTACCAACAGAAATATCGCTGGCTTCCGGTATACCTTCATGCCTCAGTCTTCCACAACTTAAAGCAACTCTGCAAACAGAAAAGAAAATTAACTGCTGATTTTAAAATATCAGTGAGGATGGCTTTATTATCTACAACAACTGACTTTTGTATAAGATAAATCAATGTGAGGCAATATGAGTAGCTTACACATTTGGAAAAAAAAGGCTAGACAGCAACTGAAAGAAAGTCCGTCTTCCAACAGTCGGAATTCAAACGAAACAGTGGCCCACAACGGTCAAGGGGTGAATTCTATGACGCAACATGTGTTCAGAATATTACAAAATGAATAAAGTGTCCCCCATTGCTACGTAAATATCATACAATATAACGTACCTTCGGAATATCCCCGCCCGAGAACTTCACAACGCACCGTGCCACAACACAACCGCACCAACCGCCGGCAGCCGCAGAACTGAACAATGGCGGCCGGAAATGACGGCCCCGCGCCGGAAGTTAAGGACGCGTTTTAGAAGCAGTCTCAGACTCGTCGCTGCTCACCGTAGCAGGGATTTATGAGGCACTACCGAATCAAAGTCGTTTCGCCTCATTCGGCAACACGGAAACCCTACCAGGACTAGTCCGATGATGAGTTTCCGACTAGGTGGCGTGTGCGCAGGATTATATTTAAAGCACGTGCAGGGCGGTGCCTCATTAGCCGACATAATAATTATATGACACGATAATGAAACACGCATGTAACTAGCATGCAACAAGCTTCTGGCGGATTTAATTATGAGACTATGCGTAGTTTTCCGACACAGCGCGAAATCTGTTGATAAGCAGGAAGGGGTGTTAGGGAAGCATTTAAGTTATTAGGTTACCGTTTGTAACCAATTGTTTCACGAGGCCACTCTTTAACTAACAACGCTCAGGCTGATAATGTCCCTATATATAACAGCAAGGTACAATGGACTACCGTGTAACCCACTCCTTGTCATAGAATTGGCTCGTGACATTTTTTTACAGTGTATATCACAGCTTTTTTTTTTGCAGGCTAGTTCCTTTGCTTGTTCAAATATGGCCACGACGTTATGCTATTTCAGATATTTTTTCTATCGCCAGGGAGAAAAAGGGAAGTGGCGCAGCATTTTCTGCCACGCTTTGCTGTAAATTACTGCAGCGCAGTCTGCAGCGATGTCCTTACCCTCCCTGACGCGGAGAGCGCAGTGTTCGCCGTCCAGGAGTAGGTCATACCACGCGGTGGGCTCGTTGTCCGTCACCTGACGGTGAGACAACGGCAGGGTCAGCATTCAGCAACGTTTGGGCTGATGTGTTCAGTTATCAGGCACAGAAGCAAAATCTGTTTAGTTTGGTGAAGTAGCCAACAGCATTATTGAATGTTGTAAGGAGACAACATTACCAATTAAAAAAGCCTATCTAAGGGCCATGCATGAAAGGTAGCGGACTACTCGCCAAAGCTGACCTTGGAAGAGAGCACGGCGTAGATGACGCCCATCACCCCGCTGTCGGCCACGAAGTTGACGACGTCGCCGATTTCCAGCAATGGCTCGTGGTAGCCGTAGGATTCGATGCCCACGAGAGCTGCCTGTGAAATGAAAAAAAAAATCTTTAAAGCCGGCATTTCAAACAAAAACGATAAACCGAAAAGGCCGTACCACCGTTGCCCAATGTCCCACCTTGAGCTACGTTTCGGCATCAAATTTTGTAGTTTTTCAAGAGCGTAAACCGACACGACGGCAATGAATCTCCGGCACCGGCTCGTTTTAACTGAACTCACCGTACGTCTCAGGTAGGCCTCGTTGGTGTTGAGCCACCGGTGAACCTCGGTACTGCGGCTCACCAGGGACGCCATAAACTGCCGGATACCCGCCGCCTCGTCCTCCGACACATCAGCGGCGTCCAGGTACTCCTGCAGAAGGAGAAAATAACCTCAGAACTGCTGATTGATGATTATGATGATGGTTTGGGGTTTTAGGGCGCCCAGACTGCGGTAATCATCGACGTCCAATACGCCTGTTTGAAGTGACCATATTTACAAATTTCATAAGAAAAGTATGATATATGTACCTTTGTGCTTGTTATCACTTCGGTTAGGAGATGTGCAACATCATTTGAACACAAAGGACCCGTGACAACTGTTGCTGGCACCCCGTTCAGGTTGGCTGACCTGACAGAGGCGGCGGGTGTAGGCCGGTCTCGCGGCCTGCAGCTGGCCGCAGACGCTGCGCAGCTGCAGCCGTCCCGGATGGCAGCCGTCCATGGTCCGGTAGAGCAGCAGCTGGTTGGCCTGGTGGTCGGCCTCAGTTTCTGCGCGGACGCTCCGCTTCCATTGGTAGCCGCCGGCAGAGAGGTAGTGCAGAAGCTGAGGACAGAACCAGGGGCGCGGTTAGCAGCAGCGGGACGCTGTTGAAAAGCTATAAGCTATGTGATGATTCTTACAATGACAACTTCAGTTTGATTTAGGCTTTATGCTTCACGTGATCGGCGCTAAGGGCACTACTCACCATGCCGGGCGTCATGGGCTCGAGGAGGATCCTGTGGAAGGCCTCCCCGCAGACCTCCTGGACCTCCTCCACGGCGGTCTCCAGGTCCAGTTGGACGCCGCCGCGGGCCACGTCGATGAAGATGACGTCTTCCTCGCTGGAGAAGCACGGAACAGTTGACGTCGACGGAACACGGCATAATACACTAATGATGCGAATAACTTAGATCTAATTTTACAATATACGAGTATGCACTTCGACAGCAAACAAGTTCATCAAGCAGACATGAATCTAGAGGCAAGAATACAATTAGCGATGCTAGATGCATCAGGTTTGCTGTTAGTCAGTACTCACACTGGCTGCCAGCGGACCAGCCACGGGTCCATCATCCTGAGGTGCTGGATCAGCACCCCGAGACGGCCGGCGACGGCGGCATACAGCGCCGTCATGACGCCTTGCAGGCCGCTGCCCCACGTGACGATGTCACGGTGCGCCACGCGCAGCTGTTGAGAGAAAGTACAGTTAACCGATCAGCTCAGGGTGAAGTTCAACAGACGATGAAGACGAAGATAGCACATGTGCAATGCTTTCGTGGGCCGCAACGACAAGTAATGTCGGCAGCATTTTTTTCAACATTTTGTAGTTGTAGATTTGTACTCTTAGCACATCGGCACCTATCATCAGGCTTATCATTCAAGCTTCAACGGATTATTTTAGGTTACTTACGGTCGCGTGCAGCTCCCGATCTTCCGGCCTGTCCTGGTCCTCCGGTCCGTCCTGCTTCAGGAGCCGGAGCCGATCGTACAGCGTGTAGTTCACGCAGTCGAACAGCTGCTGGGACAGCAGGTCGGACCACAGGGTGTCCACCAGGGGCTCTGAGCGGGTTTCGGTCCAGGCAGCTGCTGGGTGGTCCGGGTAGCACTGCTTCAGCTCCTGCAGAGCAATCTCCGCCACCCGAGTCGCGTACCTGGACAATCAACAGAGAGTCAGTTAGGAATGCAGGAGGATTGCTGGCGAAGTCAGAATCTGGTGGACTTTATTACTCTTTGGTTTCGAGGCAGTCACATCTTTTACAAAAAAGTAACAAGTTGTAATTTCCGGCTATCCACACGTAAAAAATGTTTATCGCTTGAGTTTATTCCCGAAAGCGATTGATGAATAAGGTACCTTAGTCACCACTGTTGCCGACAAACTGCACTAGGTAGTTGGTGTTGCGGCTCATTTCGGATCTGATCGTAGCTGCCGGGCCGGGCCGACTCGTGATCCCGGCCGGCGCCGCTCCACGCCGCCGCCGCCCCCATCCCCCTGCCACGCCGCCGGCAGATGGGCCGTCCGCATGGCAGTGATCGGGTGACGGGACGCTCCCCTCTCCCTACGACCGTGTTCTACAGCTGCAGTTGTATGAAAGGATGCGCTGTTACCGGAGGGACTGACCCGGGGGGAGGGGGTGGGCTGGCGTGGCGTCGCACGTGGATCTGTGTCCCCGGCGGACCGGAGCCGTTATGCCGACATGTGCCGACCGCGTGGTAGGGTTACCAGGACGCTGTGTAGTGTGTAGCTTCTTTGTTGTTTCATTACTTTCGTCGCCATCTGTGTCCTCCCGACCCAGTACATAAACGGGGCGGGAGCAGCCCTCGCTCTCACTTCTTTACTTTTCGGCGCCGAGAGAGCACTGCCTCGCTCTCTCTGGCCAACTCTTCTTGTCAGTGATACTGTGTTGTCATCGCCTATTCGCCATCTGCAATACTCACCAGTTCGGAAGAATCTTGTGTTTGTGAATGGTGAAGAGTGGAGTGCAGCGGCGGATAAGAGCACGGGGAGAGTGGCACACAGTCAGTTCGCACAGTCTTCTATTTCACGGTGACCGGGTCTACTTATCATTCCTATCTGATTCCTTATTTTCCTAATACCTCTTGCTCTCTGAAAAGAGGGTTCCTTTGTCTCTCTGTAAAGAGGGCTCTTTATTTAGGTCTTAACATGCTCTCTGTAAAGAGGGTTCCTTTGTCTCTCTGAAAAGAGGGCTCTGCATACCCTTTTAGGTCTTAACCCTCGCCCGCACATGCCATTTTCCCATCCTAGAACGCACATGGGGGGGGGGGTGGTTGCCACCCCCCCCGCGCCATTTCGTTCCTGTTGGAGATAGAGCTTAGCAGTAAAGACCAAAAAGATTCTTTGGGAAGAGACGAATCCAATGATACCCAGTTTTACCTTCTCAGGTCAGTCATTGACCTTCCAGGTCAGGTCAAACTAAAAAATGTTGCTGTTTTGGGTCACCGTTGGATATCAAGTGTGCTGCTTATCAAATACCGATGACGATGCTGTTTTCTGGTGCCAAGCCAGCTAGAACCTCTTTGTCACACTACCCGACCAGAATTTTGCTGCTGAGGTCATTTCAGGTCAAGTTAGGTCAAGGTCAATTATATGTGTTTGTATGTCTGTGTGTGTCTGTGTGTATACTGATGTGTGCACCGATTGTTTTTGGGTCCATATTACATGAAATAATGATCTGAGAAGCTTTTACCAAAAATGCAGTCAAAAAACTTCAAAAAAAGTAAATTCAGCCTGCCTAAAACGCAATTATCTTAGGTGACCTAGGTTGACCTTGACCCTGACCTTGACCCCTGTACATCGTCAAACAACATGTTCCATGATAGGTAGGAGGTAAGACTGGCAAAAAAGGCCGAAATCAGGGTGTCTAAAGCTCATAAGGCCCATGGCAAACGCAAGATGTTGAGAATTGGCCATTTGGGTCATGACATGACCTGAAAAACAAGATCATATCTCCGAAACCAAAAATCACAGAAACTTGAAATTTTCAGTGGACATCAAGAAAGGATAGAGGAGCAGCTATACGAAAAATCAGCCTTCTAGCTCTAAAAATGTTGAGTGCAGAGCAGAAAGACTACCTGGGGGGGGGGGGGGGTGGCAACCACCCCCCCCATGTGCGGGCGAGGGTTAACATGCTCTCTGTAAAGAGGGTTCCTTTGTCTCTCTGAAAAGAGGGCTCTGCATACCTTTTTAGGTCTTAACATGCTCTCTGTAAAGAGGGTTCCTTTGTCGCTCTGAGAAGAGTGCTCTTAAACCTTGATCCAAAATTATATCCATTCATATAGCATCCACTTCTTATATTATAAATTCCCAATTTCGCCTCATTACCATATCAACCTATATCCTGTCAGGCCCCGGTCGCCACACCAAATGATGCGAGACGTCAACACACACACAGTTATACAGTCCACTGAGTCAAGTTGAAGAACGTCTGCAACAACCACATTCGCTGAACAGACTACCTTACCTTTGGACGTCGGAGGCCGGCCGCGGCCCCACCTCTGGGAACCGCCACATGGCCAGCAGGCGGTAGGCCTCGCCGACCTCCTGCTGCTCGGGAGGCAGCTCCATGAACATCCGCATCAGCGGCACCAGCACGGAGTCACGCTGCACCTCCCGGTAGAACATGGTGGCGTAGTAGCCACGCGAGAGTCCGTTTCTGGCAAGGACAAGTCACATTGTCACCCTAGAGTTGTGAAATTATTTGATTCCACTTCCTGGAGATGTCATGTTGAGCATCACATTGAGTTAATATCTCGACAATTTTTTGTAATATTTGGTATAACATAGCAAGTTTTGAGAACAAATAATCAGAAAGTAATGGAAAGTTACTCTCACAGAACAAGTACACAGAGTACACTCAGCTATCAGCCAAATGATGTCCTTTGAACTAAAAAAGAGTAAAAAGACCCCTTAGTCACCTCACCTCCGTGTAGGCCGCGGATGGAATATCTCATCCAGGAGGGCGTCCCTCATGACGAGGGAACCATGTGCCGCGGTGATCCCGCGGAACTCCTCCATGGCCTGGTCGGGCAGTCCGGGCACGGGGTGGAACTGGCCGGCCACGCGATCCAGGAACACCCTCAGGTGCTGCCCAGCCCCAAGCCGACACTGGGTGAGGGTGCGGCAGTTGATGCCGCAGAGCAGCACCTTGACCACGGGACAGCAGGACGGCTGTATCAGGCGAGGAAACGTGCCGGAAAGGGATCAATTTCGTTAGAAATTACACAATAATTTCAACTAAAACGGTTTACGGTAACGAGATGATTTATATTACCACTTACCTCGATTGCTATCATACTTTATAGGGTTTGATTACCTATTGGTTATCGCATTTTAATCTCTCACTCGATAACGTTATAAGAGCGCTCTTCAGTCTTCACCAGAGCCAATATATCACTCTGCTGTTCTTCGTATTTCATGCTGCTGCTGAAGCCAGCTCAATGCGATTTTTAGTTTGTATGACCACTTGAGCCGAAACTTAAACTTACCGCCTCTTAAACATCGCCCTCCATATCTTGTTGGAAGACGCCATGATGTCCCTAAATCTCCGGCACGACGAAGCGATGTCAGGAACATCTTCTATGTCCAGAAGACAAAATATGTCTTCCAGGATCTCCGTAGGGATCTGCCTGACCGGCATGCACTCCATCTCGCGATGTCAGTGGGCGCAATCCGCTCAAACTAACCGTAAGAAGTCTTGCGCCGTACTGAACTGCCCGCGCTTTGATTGGCGCCATCAGCCCTCATTTCAGTGACTGCGGTGCCATCTATAGGCCCGGTTATGGAGATCTGATCGCCCGGGACAGCCAATCACGCCCCAGCAGGGTTGAGGCCGCCAATAATGAACCTAGGCGAACGCTAAGCTCCGCCTCCTTGTCATCGAAGAGATTTGACGTCATTATACCCTGTTTGCTATCGATGTTACCGTGTCGAAGAAAGTTAGCCCGTTCATATTTTATCAATAAGACAGATTGACTGGATATATATGAAAACATTCTCCTTGTACCTAAAATATGTGACAATAAAGAATGAATAATGAGATGTAAATACCACTTTTCTGAATCTGCATTCTGTAAATGTTTAATGTAATATTGCAAGTCAGAAAAAAGAAGAGATCCAAAGAGACACATCGTTTTATCAGACTCCTAAAGCTGACTTTGCTTCTTTTTAACGTTTTCTTTTCATTGATTTTTTCTTTCAACAAATGACATTATCACCAAGAAGCCGGGCACAATTATGGATTCGTATGAATATGTGTGTCATTAAGTTGCACAGCTTGTTTGCCGATGTTTCTCTCCGCACTTCTTTCAGATGCCGCTCGAGCCGGCTCAGAGTCAGGCTGGTAGTCAGGTAGGTCCCGCTCATTGAGACTTTCCTTCGCGAAAAGTGTTTTTCATGCCATTTTTGACTGCGTTTTGAGATGTCCCTCGGCGCTTCAACTTGCAGAAAAGTACCCGCGACATTGAATGGCCTAGTTTTTTTTTCGTGCGTCGCCCATTGCCCGGGGACTCGACAGCTGCCATGAATTATCCTCAGAGGATTTCTGACTCGTATTTAGCCTTGTTGACCACCTTGTGCATGGATGCAGCGTGGAACCGAGTAAGACCTTATGCCGCGTTATTTCGCCCCCATATCATGATATCGAGAGGCTGTTTGGCGGTTCCAATGCGTGGCACTTGATATGACATGAATTTAGACCAACTCCGGCAGTTAAGTTGGTGTTGCCTCTGAACTGATTTAAAGACAGACTCTTAAAACCCAGATAAAATGCTTATTTTCATCGAAGCTCCTTTTTGTCCTTTTGTAAAACGCCTAACTTATATATTCTTCCGCTTAACCCTCCCCGCACATGCCATTTTCCCATCCTAGAACGCACATGGGGGGGGGGGTGGTTGCCACCCCCACCCCCCGCGACATTTCGTTCCTGTTGGAGATAGAGCTTAGCGGTAAAGACCAAAAAGATTCTTTGGGAAGAGACGAATCCAATGATACACAGTTTTACCTTCTCAGGTCAGTCATTGACCTTCCAGGTCAGGTCAAACTAAAAAATGTTGCTGTTTTGGGTCACCGTTGGATATCAAGTGCGCTGCTTATCAAATACCG